CATTACCATAGCCGTACATGGCAATCTTGCTTAAGCTACGCATATGTCTATCCAGTCATTACTTGGAAGGAGTATCTCTTAGGAATCTGAAATAAACCATTTAGAGTTCCAGCATGAAGGAAATAGATATACAGGTCGTAAATATGAACACTGAAGTGTACCTATAGGCAAGCAGGCAGAAATGCTGATTTTGACCTTTTAAAGCCCTGCACAGGCTGGATGCTGCCTATCTGAAGAAATACCTCTTCCCTATATTATATATATAGCTCATTGAGATTGTTGAGGGCTTTCTTCTGTGAGTGTACCTGCTTTCTATACAGAGACCTCTGTTAGGAGAAAGACAGGGAAAGTGCGTCCCTGTTACATCTTCTCGACTCTCAGCATTGTTCAATACCCTTGACAATGATATCCTGCAGCGGAGTTGTGGGTGGCACTGCTTTATGGTGGTTCCAGTCCTACTTGGATGGACATTTCTAGAGAGTGATGCTTGGGGAGAGTTCTTCAGCCCCGTGGAGCCTTCAGTGGGGTTTCTCACTGTTCAATTGTATCCTCTAAATCTACATGAAACCACTGAGTTGGGGTCATCTGGAGGGTTGGAGTACATTGTCGCAATATGCTGACGACACTCAACTCTACTTCTCCTTTACATTTGCAGGTGAGGCAGTGGATATGCTGGACCATTGTCTTGCCTCGGTAAAGGAGTGGATGAGAGCCAACAAACTGAAGCTCAATCAGATAAGACTGAGGCACTGTTAGTGGTTCAGAGATAGCCTAACAACTGTTGTCTATGGTCTGGTAACCCCTAGGTTTAGAATTACTGCAACATGTTATCTGTACAGCTACCTCTGAAGATGGTTCTGAAACTTCAGCTAGTGCAGAATTTGGTGGCCAGGTTGCTCACCGTGACAAGACGGTTTGAGCATATTACACAGATCCTGGTCAACTGAACTGGCTGCCAATGAGTTTCTGGGCCCAATTCAAAGCACTGATTTTGACCTATGAAGCCCTAAATGGCTCAGAACCGCAATACCTCACGGTCTGCCTCTCTCCATATGAACCTACCTAGACCCTGATATCATCATCTGAGGACCTCCTTCATTTCCATCCTCCACAAGCAGTCCAGAAGGTGGCAACATGAGAACAGGCCTTTTCTGTGGTGGCTCCTCCTTTGTGGAAAGCTCTCCCAAGGAAGGCTTGCCTGGCACCTTCATTATACACCTTTAGGCGACATGTGAAAATATTCCTCTTCCACCAGGCCTTTGGCTGATAAACATCTTACACCCTTTTTAAAAAAGGTTGTGGGAGGCGCAAGGGGTGGTGGGTATTGTTTTTTGTGTAGTGGTAGTTCTTGTTTTTATCGTGTCTTTCCTACTTTTATGTTGTATTTTTGTGTTGTGAGCCGTCCTGAGATCTGCGAGTGAAGGGTGCTATATAAATTTTAATAATCAATAACAACACCACCAACAAAAACAATAAGTCAAGTACTCATTAGCTGTGTGGTTCTGGATCTAGATTTGCTCTGAATGTGGTCATTGGTGTTGGAACATATTTTTGTGACTCTGACTTCAGGTAATGTCTGTAAATTGCCAAACATTAGCTGAAAAAAGAATTCTAAAGATACCTGTTATAGCTGGTGGATAGAAGAGTGGAAGTGTGCTGCCTTTTTGGCATGCAACAAGTTCATTACTTTGAAAGCGTTCTGCCAGTCAGCATCTGGCTAATTTGCTATATAACTACTTCAAAACAGATACAAGATTTGTCTTGCCTGCTTTTCAAAACAGAAATATATCGCTTGATTACATTGTTAAATCTTCATTGTGATGTTGATAGTTTCTAGCGCTACTCATATAACGTGTCTGGGCAAACCTATTAAAGCTTTGTTTGCAGTTTATTGCTTTACAGTTTGTAAAACATGTATTAGGCTGTTTTTACATTCGTGTTTGGGTTTTTCCCCTGCAGTAGTTGTTCTATTTTTAGAAAGAAAAACTGGTTGAAAGGTCTTTGCTTCATTCTTCATCTTCTTTTCTTTTTCTTTTTTAGTGGTCTAAAAAGTACTGCTGTTTTCCTTTAGGAGTAAGTCTTGCCATATGTAATTGGTAGGCACATTTGGCTTGTATGGCTGAAAGTCTTTCATGACTACAAACCTGTTTGATCAATAGTGGAATCAAAGGATAAGGAGAGTAAGGAAGGGTGGCTTCTTTTTTGGACACTAAATGTGTAATGAAAGGAGAGATCAGAAATGACATTACACATTCTCTCAGAGGTGCAGTTGAGTTGGTAGAATGCAAAATGAACAGAACTCAAAGGTAAAATGTACATTTGTTGCTCCATCCACTTGTTTCTGGACCCACCCACCAGTGACATGTGGCTCTCAGGCTGGAAAAGATCCCCCTTTAATATATACTGTTAGGTTGTGATGAGGTAGTATTATGAGGGAACCAGTTCTTGTTGAAAGTATGCACAACACTGGTGCTGAAAGTCCTGTTTTCATGGATGTCTGCAAGCATGATTTCTGTTGCAACTAAGCAGAAAGAAGCTCATTATCATGTCTAGAAGAGCTTTCCTAATACAACTACACTAGAGAGACCACACATGGTATAAAAAGTTTTGCAAGTAAACTGCTAGCGCAAAATAAATCACTTAAAATCAGGATCCCACAGGCTCTTGCTGACCTTTTACATGTTGGTGGCTTGTCTCATCCATTTACTACTCTCATGCCCACTACTCCCTCAGATCTCATCCATATCTGAGCATTAATCCTGGATCTCTTGGAGAACCATTTCTAGAAAAAAAAATCTGAAGAAGTGTGCATGCACACGAAAGCTCATACCAATAACAAACTTAGTTGGTCTCTAAGGTGCTACTGGAAGGAATTTTTTTATTTTGTTTCGACTATGGCAGATCAACACAGCTACCTACCTGTAACTAGAAAAAAATGTCATAGTGATGAAAGAACTGGACTTGGGGGAGGAGTTGCTATTTGTTAAAGGTAAAGGTACCCCTGCCCGTACGGGCCAGTCTTGACAGACTCTAGGATTGTGCGCCCATCTCACTTAAGAGGCCGGGGGCCAGCGCTGTCTGGAGACACTTCCGGGTCACGTGGCCAGCGTGACAAAGCTGCATCTGGCGAGCCAGCGCAGCACACGGAAACGCCGTTTACCTTCCCGCCAGTAAGCGGTCCCTATTTATCTACTTGCACCCGGGGGTGCTTTCGAACTGCTAGGTTGGCAGGCGCTGGGACCGAGCAACGGGAGCGCACCCCGCCGCGGGGATTCGAACCGCCGACCTTTCGATCAGCAAGCCCTAGGCGCTGAGGCTTTTACCCACAGCGCCACCCGCGTCCCTACTTGTTAGAGTTAGAGTGCTATTTGTTAGAGTTCTTTTATTGTATGGCAATTGCTTTTACTCTCATAAACAACATTGAGGTGCCAAATAGTTACCCTGGACACAAGGAGGGTGAAAAGTCACAGAAGACAATTAGATGGCAATGGTTAAAATAATTTGCTTTGAAAAAAGTTTTTTTGAATGCTAAATTATGGTCTGGAAAGTTATAGTCACCTAACAAGGACAATTTTTATGTAAGCAACTACTGCAAATAAAACTGGAAAGTAAGAACATTTGGAGAGTGTAAAAAAAATAATTGTGATGCACACAGGGAAATTGTGCATCTTGAGGAAAACGGAGTTTGAATATGAAGCAGAATGAAAGTGTGTGATTCCAAAAATACTGCATATCTATACCATGTTCTGTATGCCATTTAATACCGTACATACAACTTTGGATTTTTTTGGGAACATATACTAAGTTTTACATGAAGAATTCTGCACCTTTTGCACATTAAAGTTGTGTGGAGTTCATGCAGTTCAGAGTACAGATCCTTGCAAGTTTGGTTTTTTGTGGGCAGTTTATAGACATCATCTCATGTGATCTGACTGTGTACTTTGGTTAGTGTTTGGGGACACTGGAGTGTGGAATAACAAATTCCTGAGTGTGGGAACTAGAACCATGAAAGTGGGCTTAGGTTTCCATTATTTTTTACTTGTAAAGTTCAGTTCTTGGGGAGCTTCTCAATTGTTTTCCTCTCTAGCAGATTGTAGTGGTGTCGACAGTTGGCTATTCTTCCAGGAAAAGCGGATTTATGTTTAATATGAACTTTTAGTGTCACTTAATTTATTAAAACAAGGTCTGAATCCCCACAGATTCTGTAAAGTTTCATTCAGATACTTGGAGACAAATACTGTTCTGTCACACATAGAGTTACGGAATTAAAGGTCTTACTGGAGTATTTGTGTTTACAGTTAAATGCTTTGATATATCTGCTTATAACTGTGGTTTTGTTTCTCATACCTTACAATCCCACCAGCATAACATATCGGCATACATGGTGGGTATGTAACTATACACAAGTTCTGGAAGCAAGTTGTAATGGAGATTGATATTATTGTTGGCAAACAAGTCACTTGGATGTTAAGCTATGTCTCTTACCCATTTTTGACAGTGTCAGTGTTGACTTAACCTCTCAACAATTAATTCTGTATCTTTTGCTTGCCACTTGTCTAGTGATCTCTCTAGGGTGGAAGGATGCATCTTGTTATTCTGTGGATCTGTGGATTTAACAAGTCATATTTATTGTCATTTCTGAAAAAAGCTGACTCCTAAAATATGAGTCCCTGGGGTGATGTAGACCCCTTTGTTTCTGCTTGGGGACTGTTTGTGATGCATACGACCAAACATGGTTGGTGTATTCCTATTAAATATGATCTATTCGGCAACATTCATTATTATTTGGCATTTTTGGTACAAATATGAACCTTGTATATATTTTCTATGTTACTTACTCTTTTTAAAGCTTTTTTATTATCATTATGATGGTTACTTTATTATCTTGTTATTTTATTCATCTTGCTCTTATGATTGTTTTTATTACTACTTTTAGGTTGATGTTTGGTTTGTTTGTACATTAAAAAATAACCCTGCTTGTATTCATTGTTTCATGGTAGGTGATGGGATTCCAAGGGAAAGCAGCCCATTTATCAATAATGACAGCATGGAGAGAGGAAACATTTACGAAGGGAAAAATATGGCTCTTTTTGAGGTACTTTTGATAACTTATTTCCCAAAATCCCCGTTACTAAGTTCTAAGTAATGACGTGTTATATTTATGTATTTTTATTCAAATAGCAGTACTTGCTGTGTTTTCTTGCAATCTATTCTGTAAGACCAGGGTCAGAATAGTCCCACTGAGGTTAATAAACCTGAGTTAAATATGAGTAACTTGGGTTTGTAAATTTCAGAGAATCTACTCAGGACTTAGCTTCATATATAACCCTAGGGATCCACAAATTGTCACTTCTATGAAGTCTAATACTACCATGTTGATATATAACACTAAATCATGGTTTGTTGCTACTGTACAAGGAATAAGCTTGAGGGAAGTCCTGAGTTTCTGCACTCCGCCTCTCCAGTGTTTGGGAAAATGAGTTTAGTTTCGCTTTCCACTAACCTTGGCTTGTTGTGTTGTTGTGTAAAACAAACTTTGGTTGTTTCAAAACAGGCCAACTTCAAATCACGAGTCAATAAGCTGCTTGTTTAACCAAGCAGAGTTTGCTTTAAACTATGATTTCTGGTTTGTATGACATGACAAGCCAGGATTTGTGGAAAATGAAACTAAATGCATGCAAAGGCCTTCTCCAGGCCACATGGGGAGAAGAAGACAGGGGAGTGTTGAACTCAGCCCTCAAGTTTCTTTCTAATAATAATAATAATAATAATAATAATAATAATAATAATTTATTTATACCCCGCCCTCCCCAGCCAGAGCTGGGCTCAGGGCTGCTAACACCAATAAAATAAAATCACAGTAAAAACATAATAGGGGAAAAAGAGAGGGGGGGAACTAATTTAAAATACAGGTTAAAATGCAATTTAAAATGCATCCTCATTTTATTTGTAGCAAATATTTCCATTGAGGCTCATCAGCCAGCTGTAATGAAGCATTTGCATTCTGAATAAAAAGCTGAATGACCTTACAGAGAACCATTTTGAAAAATTTGCTTCACTTGTTTGAAATTAGAACTGAGCTAGCAGTCAAGTTAAGTACTTCTTCACAAAGCACATGGGAGACTGTGATGGCCACCAACTCAGATGACTTTGAGGACTAGATAAATTCATGGAAGAGACGGCTATCAATGGCTACTAACCATGATGGCTCTGCTCTGCTGCCGTAGTTGAAGGCAGCAGTGCTTCTGAATACTAGTTGATGGAAGCTGTAGGAGAGGAGAATGCTCTTGTGCTCAAAAGGCATCTGGTTGGGTACTGTGAGAACAGGTTGCTGGACCACATGGGCCATTTGATTGTTCCAGTTTTCTTACATTCCTAAAGAACTTTTCAACCCAACCCTGCATGCTTTTTCCTTCACTCATTTCCATTTTTCATTCAGTCCTTCCCAGTTGGTCATAGCATGTTGGAATAAAAAATACTCCCAACTTTGCTAATGTTCTAAGTGGCCTGAACTGTAAGTGGAAGGACTTGCGTATCATATCTCTCACTATATTCAGCCCAGCCTGGCATGACTTCCTCCTTCTTTTTGTTTTTATTCTGGAGTCCCAGATAGCTCCAGTTAGCAAATATAACACCATTTGTCTTGCCTTCCAAATGATCCTTCAGAGTGACTTGTCTAGCTTCCTGTATCTCTACATCTTTTAAACTTGAGTGTATCATTGGAACAACCTTAAGCAACCTGTGTGTCATTGTCTCATTCAGAGAGGAAGGAGCACTCACCAAAGCTGGGAGGTTGCCATGGCAAATACATTTATCTCATGTAAAACTTGAGTAAATATAATTTGCAATCATGAACTCTATTCACAAAAAATCATCAGAATTGCTTAGGAGAGTTTGAATTTGAACATTTAACCATGTTAAGAAAGATCTTAGCAGAAATAGACCTGTGGTTTTATTTTGTACACAAATAATATTTGTTAACAATTTTTATTTTGCAATAATAACAAAGAATCCATTATTTCACAGCAAAAAGGTTGTAGCAGCAGAATTTGCATAGATATATGATGCTTTTACCTGTTCTGAAATGTGTTCCTATATATTGGACCTTGATATTTAACATTTTTTTCAAAATCCCAACAGGAAGAAATGGATAGCAACCCCATGGTATCATCTCTTCTTAATAAGCTAGCCAACTATACCAATGTTACTCAAGGAGTGGTAGAACATGAAGAAGATGAAGATAGCAAACGTAAGGAAATAAAGGTACAAATGCCAAAACTTTTAATTAACAATTGGTAGCAGAGCTTCTTCATTGGAGAGGTGGGCTGTCTGTCATACAAAATAGGTAATAAATATTACCGATAATGATAAAATAAATATGATTCATTTCTCTCAGTTCCATCCAGGAAAAATTAAAATATTGCTAGTTATCAGCCATACATACAACAAGTTTACTTTTGGAGAGTGTCAAAATACACACTACACTCTCTTTTTCCTCTTCCCCTTTCCCATGGTTTGGAAAGAGTGACACAGTGATCATGGATATTAACATGCCAATAGAGGCAACTGAAGGAACAGGTGTTGCCATGGGCAAGTGGCTGGTAACACCTATGATATATTTCTTTTTCTGGGGCCTTGCAAAATAGGAGATTTTGTTCAAACTTTAAAATTTTGGGCCATGATCAATAAGCCCTAGAATTATTCAATCTATAGCCACAGAGCATACTAAAGGGGAATACAAGGGCGCTAGTACTCTGTGACATTCTTCACACAATGGGGGCAACCGAAGAGAGACCAGACAAAACCCAAATCTGTCAGGTACCAGCTGAAGTTGAAGACTCTGAGGGAGTGCATCTAGATCTTTGCCAAATACGACTTTCCTTGTTATGGTGGGGCAACTGTTATCCTTCAGTTCCAATTTTTCTTGCTTCCCAACATAGCTTTTCTGTGTTTACAGTTGCGTTAACTACTCTCAGAAGATATGGCCTTGCACTATTGTTCTTGTCTGATCATGGTCATACCTACATTTGAGTGAAGGACTGAGAGCCATGTAACTGATTGTATGCAGTAGAAGCTTCTTTCCTAGGGCATATGACATAAATTTCTGAGGTTGTAGTGTGAGAAACATAAAAGCTCCTCAAAGAGTTTCTGAATATTTCTGTGATTCTCTATGTGTAGATGTTACTGGTTGCATCCCGTGTCAGAGGATTTTTCAGCCTTTATGAAAAATTTGTTTCTTTGGGGAAAAGGCTGTCTTGCTTAATCCAGATACATTGGTCAAAAAGTATACTAACGAACTATTATGTTTTCTGTGGGTTTTTTAGGCTCCACGTATGGGCACTTTCATTGGTGTGTATCTGCCCTGTCTACAGAACATTTTAGGAGTTATCCTATTCCTGCGACTGACATGGATTGTGGGAACAGCAGGAGTTCTTGAATCTTTCATCATTGTATTCATGTGCTGTTCTGGTGTAAGTACAGCTTCCACTTTTTATGTTTAGCTAAATGCTGTTCTGCATTCTAGTGATTTTCCATCGTCGTCTTGTAACTTTATTCAAGCATTTCTGGGGAGCAAGCTATGTAAAGCAAGACTGGGTGCAAGATAGAACACAGCAACAGAAGGACATAAACTCTAAGTGGCTGCGTTATGGATATGCTAAAGCAACATCAAGTAGCTTTCAGGAAGGCCAACATTTTTAACCTCATTTGTATATCTCAATCTCTAGTGCCAAAAGAGCAGCACCTTGTTTAGGCTAGGATTTCTCATGAACGAACCTTTTTCTCAGTTCAGAAGTATAATGCAAGCCAAGTGTAGTTGCAGTTCAAAAAATAGAACTCTTTTGTGGCTGATTGGTGGAAAAGGGCTGTGCCAAGTAAGGGCTTAAAAAGACAATATATTTATAAAAATGTATTTTCTCTGTGGCACACAACACAGTCACCAATGAATTAGGAAGATAAGCCATTGTCCAGGTTGAGCATCATGGATGGGAACTAGTTGTTTCTCTTCCTTCTGATCAAATTAAAGGTTTAATTGGTGTCATCGCCCCTACCCCACATCTAAATCAGAGAAGAGATACTCTTTCTGGATCACCCAAGGCTTTTGCTTTTGTTTCATTTCATTTTAGATTCTGACACTGTGAAAGAGGTTTTAATTCTCAGGGGAAGTCATACATTCAATGAGAGAATAAATAGGATGTGAAAACAAATGGGAGGCTTTTACCCAACAGCTGATTGGCTTGGTCACCAGTTTGGACAGTTTCCCTTACTTTTGTTTCCAACTGCTCTCACTTTAAATAGCAACATCATTTCCTAACAACTCATCAAGTGAGATATTGTTTCCGAAGTTGAGAGCCAACAGACATGGGTTCCGTGTCATTGTAGTGATTTGGGCTTAAGTCTGCACATGTTTCAGCCCTGGAGCTTTGACCCATACCTGGCTTTCTTCCATCTTCTGATTTGATTTCATGGCAAAGGAATATGACTGAAAGAGGAAAACAATTCTTTCTAACCTTGAAATGTCATCCTGTTAGAGTGTTTTGGATATATGGGTTTGATTTTTGTTTTTCTGTTAGGATGATATTAAACATACATACTATATTTGTGTTTTAGTTAGGTTATGGAAAAGTAGCATAACATTCAGTATGTTTAATAGTTCCTTAAATCCAAATGCATTTTTGAAAAGATTGGGTTGTATCCAAGAATGTCACTTAGCTTATGGTAAGGTTTTGGTCAGCGGAATGGGAAGGGAAGCAATTTTTTATTATTCCTCCCTCCAGTGCAGCCCTCCCACATCCTTCCTAAATCTGCTCTAGACCATCATAGTAGTAGTAATAATGGGGCACAAAGCAAAGGGGACTGAATGAAATTGTTTCCCTGCCTGTTCCACTGATGAAAGCCATACAGCCAGCAGACAAATACCAATGAATATTTCTTTCTTGTAGACTATTTTGCTTTAGGTTTTATGGTACAAACAGTGGTTTTCTTTCCCATTCCTGCAGCTGGACCTTCCCACTTGCCATTTTAAAACTACTGGAAGCACACAGACACACATATATAAATAACCCAATCAATTCACATCTATTTAAGTGGCTTGTTCTTCACCTGTTCTGAGGGGCTTAACTGTTAGAGAAACCAACTGTCAGACATTCTCATTCTCAAACTTTGCCTGTTGTATTATTTGAGGGCATCTAAGGCTGCAATGTTGTTAATGCCAAGCAGTTGGGGCCTCATCAGGGCCTAAACAGCTCTGAACTTTGAAAGGAAGAATGGGATATAGATATGTATAAATAGCTTCTCTTTGCTGTATTAGTAGGCAGGTGAAAAGGATACATGGGTGATGGTTAGTCTTTCTCACTTCTACACCAAGAATCCGGTGTCTGAGCCTTTGTTTATACCAGTGCTACATAAATGAAGAGTAATATGTGCTGAGTCAGTAAAGGGACCCCTGACCATTAGGTCCAGTCATGACCTACTCTGGGGTTGCGACGCTCATCTCGCTTTATTGGCCGAGGGAGCCGGCGTACAGCTTCCGGGTCATGGGGCCAGCATGACTTAAGCCGCTTCTGGTGAACCAGAGCAGTGCATGGAAACGCTGTTTACCTTCCCGCCAGAGTGGTACCTATTTATCTACTTGCACTTTGACGTGCTTTTGAACTGCTAGGTTGGCAGGAGCAGGGACCGAACAACAGGAGCTCACCCCGTTGCGGGGATTCAAACCACCAGCCTTCTGATCAGCAACTCCTAGGCTCTGTGGTTTAACCCACAGCGACCAGTAAAACTTATGCCTTGGTTCTTGTCTCCACTTGAACCATTTTAACTACAGTGTCTTCACCAATTTATATACTATTGCAAAAACATGATTTCTGACATAAGATGCAAGAATAAGGAGATGCCACTGGTATTACATATGAATCAATAGTTTTAATGCTCTCTTGTACTTGAATGCATACATCTTTTGCTTTTTATAAAGATTTAACTCATGGGTCCTGCACCCTCAATGTGCTGGGAGCTTCTGCTCTTACTATACTAACTGTCGTCTGTTGTGGTTTCTTAAATTTGCTAGTAACATTCTCCAATATCACTTGTTTTTTTGCAGACTCTGCTAACTGCAATATCAATGAGTGCAATAGCAACAAATGGTGTAGTTCCAGGTAATTACAAATTTTACTTATATATTAAAAGCATGTTTAGTGCACATGCTAAATGATAATGGGATACAGATGAAATGCCTCTCACTATGATGAAGTGGGTATGTGAGGAGTGGACAACAGAGTATTTCCTGCTGTTCTGGGCACAGGCATACATTTCCTAGGTCTGTCAGCGTGGTAGGTACCAAGGAAAGGCTCTGGCATTCTTCCCATAATGATGCTCGTTCCGGTCTCTCTCTTCTTGCCTGCTTTCTTGAGGACAGCTGACTCTGATGGAACAGGACTGACTATATCAAGGTGCCTTCAATTCTGCCCGCGCCTGACTAGTTGGTGGGGGGGATGCAGGTGTGTCTGCAAAGGCCTTACCTTTGCTGCTCTTACAGCAACGGCAGCAGCATTATAGCTAACAAAGCCTTTCTGTATCTCTTCCCCAATTTGCATGTGGAAATGGAGAAACAGCGTACACAAGAGACTTCATCAGAAATGGGGCACCTATTTCAGCCCACAAATGTTATTTAACCTTGGCCATGAGCTGCAGCCAAAGTTTGTTTTTACTTCTGAGTAGACATGCATTCTGCAGTGCTTTCAGTGTGTTGGCTGTCACTATAAGAAATTTGATACTGGTACTATTTTTCTTTGAATTGATACGTAGCAACCAAATAGCATTCACATTTATGCTGGCAGGAAACATTAGAAACGCAGCCCTGTCTGTAGTTGCACAATGGCACTTGCCTACATATATCTGTGGGTAGGGTTGCTTAATGAGACTGTAAAACAAGCCATTTCTGTTAAAACACAAAGTGCTAAATGTGCGGCGTGATCCTATGCTGTGCAATTATCTATGCCCAGTGATCTTGCATTTTCTGTCATAAAGAATTAATAAATCTTCTAACATTAAACAATCTCCCAGATCATGAATTGTTTCTGACCTTTGAATTCTCCTCCAGTGTTCCCTTCGTTCTCCTTGATTTATGAACAGTGAAGCTGCAGTTATTATTCCAGCCACAGCCTTGCCAATCTCTTCCTTAGTGCTACTTGATACCTACTGTTTTATAATCTAAGCACTGTTAGCCAATTAGCCAGAGCAGAGCACAGCAGGAACCCTTTGTTGTTAGTGGATTATCTAGGCTTTTTTAGTTGCTACCTTCTGAGACAATGTTCCAGATATTGTTTGCTTCTAGATGCGGTCCCTGTATTAGTAAAGTTGGCTGTTAGGTGCAGGGTATCACTCTCAGAAAAAGGAAGGGGGCAAGTATGGCTTTTTGTATACAGGGAGGGATCCCCCTCAGGTATGCAGGAAACTCCTTACATTTGAGGAAAGGCCTCCTACTTCCCCCAGCCCCCCAAATCCACCACTATCTCACCCCATTTGGTCACTTTCTGACTTGCTTTTCTAGCCCAAATTCAGCACTCACTTGCTTACAGAAGCCTTATGTTGCACTGTCCTGCATGTCTGCATCGCATGACCATACCAAATCAACTCTTAAACTCTTGCCCTCTTCCGTCTCCTTGTTAAGAATCTATTTTTGACACAGAGCATAAGGGAATGCAACAGGTTAAATAGTAGAAATTGCAAATAACGTGAAAGTCCGTGTCTGACCTTTGTTTCACACACTCCTATCTGCATTCCTGGGGGCAAATGTGCATGGGGCTTATTAATGGTCACTCTTTGTTTCACACCTGCTTGATATCCTAAAACAGCACATGCCGCTGCATCAGTTTTAAAGGAAAGAACCTATAAATAAGCATCTTTTTTGGTAAGAATCTTCATTTGAAGTTAGAAGAAACCAGGGTTCTGTCGTTCATGCTGCATGTTCTGTAAGGAGGGCAGGGAGAGGGAGACTCCTCTTGCGAGTCTCTAAATTAATCCACCTTTTCAGATGCCTGAGATAGTTGCACACTTTCTGCCTTTCCTTTCCTATCCTAACCACAAATCACAATCACACTATCCCCCATGAATCTCCTAATCGCCAACGCTAATGTACATTGAACAAAGGGAAACAATGGTTGATGTTCTGAAAGAATTGAGGTTTGCATAAAATTTAGGAAAGTTTAGGAAAGCTTGCATGGTGTTTAGTAAGTAACAGTACAATCCTATGCGTGTCTAAGCAGCCTGAGGTTGCAGTCCTGTACCCGCTTGGCAGGAAATAAGGCCTATGGCACTCAATGAGGCTTACTTCTGAGTAGACATGCAAAGCACTGCATAGTTGATTGCTAGTGTAGTGTACATTGCTATCAAAGTTAGAAGTAAAAATGCCAACTAAACATGTTAAGATGGGGAGAAAAGAGAAAAAGTTCCAGACTACATGCAGAGAGGAATGTAACGAGGAGTTTCTATGCATAAAAAATAGAATGATATGTTATTACAAAGGAGGGGATGGGGAATTTATTTCGGCCTACGGCCGAATGCATTTTTGGAAAACCACCTGAGGGCCGTATGCCAGTGGTTGGTGGAGCCGGAGGCAAAAAGGGATGGAGCAACAAATGTATCAAAAATCCAAGCATCTGGGGCGATTTGTAGTGGGATATCAACAGGAAGCAGGTTGCTTAACCCTTTCTCAACCCTTTCTAATTGGATAATTGGAAAATAATTTGTATAGTAGGCAACCCAGATTTGTGAGACTGAATTATGGCAACCATACTAATGTCTGAATGATGGAATGCGTTTTTAAAAACAAAAAACACCCATTGCATCTTCCTGGCCTCTTCACTGGCCCAGTTCTCATGTCATAGTAGGCAAGTTCACATTAAACCATTGACGTTGCTTTACCTGGGCTGTGTGTCATCTCCTCAATAGCACATGGAGGAAAGCAACTGTAATCCTTGGCATAGTGCTGCATCTGAACCAGGAATTGTGGTTTGCTTGGCTCCTAAAAGCAACGTTCAGTAAGCCAAGAACAAACCTTGGTGGATTCAGCTATGATATAAAATCTAAAGAAATTAAGACCCAGAAACTTCGGGTGGTCCATAATGTTGCTGGACCAAACGATTGATAGCTAGGTTGGCATTATCATGCTACTCCTTTTCTGAAGCAGCTGCACTGCCTTACCAGTCTATTTCTAATTCAAAGTGCTGGCTTTGAACTATAAATAAATGATAAGAGTTCTGATAATCTCAAGGAGTGTATTCTCTAATATCAAAGGATGGGGAATCTGTTGCAGTCTGGTAAGCAAGGAGGCACTTTCCTTGTTGGCCTTTGGGATGTCCCCAGAGCCCTTTCACCTCCTTCCCAAAGGCCAGTAAGGAAGGTGCCGCATACTGAACTTTGGAAAGGTGGGACAAGGTCTCTGAGATGCTGTCAGAGACCTCCCGCTCCCTTCCCAAAGCCCAGTACTGGTAAATGAGGAAAACCTGCTGGGTACATGGGTGGTGGTGGGAAATAAATAGGGGTAGAGAACAGTGGGTTTCCCTGGCTGTCCATTTACTTACTTATCCCACCTACCTACCTGCATAAGGTTGTGATCATGTAAGTAAAACAAGCGCAGTAATAATATTATTTATATCCTGCCCAACTTACTGGGTTTCCCCAGCCGCTTTGGGTGGCTTATAGCACACAAAACATTGTAAAATATTATGCATTTAAAATTTCCTGATAGAGGGGTGCCTTTAGGTTTCTTCTAAAAGTCAGAGAGTTGTTTCTTTCCTTGACATCTGATGGGAGAGCGTTCCACAGGGTGGGCGCCACTACGGAGAGCTTGCTGTAGTTTCTGGAATTTGTGGTCTGGCTTGCCAATTGTGGTTGGTGTGCTTCTGTGCTTGCTTTTCCGGGGGGAGGTTGTGTTCATAATATTATTCGCGTGGAGGGGATCTAGTGAATTTGTGGTCCTTGGTCTTTCGTTTCTGGGCATATTATGTGTCATTGTAGGCACTTTCTTGTGTGTGCTGTACGCTGTGCCTTACCATTTTCTGCCCTTTAAACTCTTCTTCTCCCTCTTTGTATTGTCCCTTCTCCCTAGTTTAAAGTGAACTTCCCCCCCTTTATTTTAAAGCCTGTTTGGGGGTTGAAGTGTCCTTTCCCTTCCTCATCCAAGCAGTGTAGTGTTCTATGAGTTGTGTGAGCTGAATTTTTAATGCTTTTTTCTCCTGCTTGCCATTTTCTGAGCCTCACTAGAACTCCAGGCCATCAGCTGCACCAGCCCATGGCATTTCATAGAATCATAGAATTGTAGAGTTGGAAGGGACCCCCCTGCTGTTTCCACAAATCTTTGGTTCAGCAATCACTGCAGCTCTGTTTTATTTCATTGTTTTGGTGGTCTCCATTAGCTCCAGGCCAACAGCTGCAGTAGCTCTGTGGAAGTCTTGGGCCATGGACAAGAGGAAGCTGCTGAAGGCTGAGGCCCTTAAGGCAACATATAAATCAGCTCATAAGCACCGCCCTCCTCTGATGGTGTCAACCTCTACAGTCGTGGGTGCCAAGCCCAATTGGCGTGGGGGGAACAAGGGGACTGGTGTTTAAGGTGAGCCACCAGAGTTTGGTTAAGTTTCCTGCCCTTTTCTCTTTTCAACCAGTTGTGATGAAGAGGCTCTGCCTGAAGTTTTTGTGCACCCTGAGTCCTTGTGGAGTCTTCTCTGAAGGTGGATTTCGGGGATTTGAGGTTCCTTCCCCAGCCTCTCCCCATTTCTGTGCCACCTGATCCTTCACTTTCTTACTCTGTTTTGCCTCAGCCTCGTCCTCTCAATCTTTCTGTAGTATCCTTGCCCGTGTAAGGATCCATGCAAGCATTTGTTGCCTGTTTCATCACATAGCCCAGCTGCTGCCGCTGTTTCCTTGTAAACATGGCTTCACCTGATTCTTCAGATATTACCTCAAATCTTTTGGATGATTTACCTAAAGAGCTGCCAGTTATAGTTTCTAGTTTCTTCCTTGCGCTGATGCCTTTGGCTCCTGCTTCAGTTCCTACTTAGATCTTTGTGGCTTTATCTGTTTGACCCATGAAGTCCCAACCCTCTGTAACTCCAGCAATACCTACTGTTCCTGTTGTGTTACCTTTGCCAAACCACTGTTCACTGCCTGATAAACATGTGAACACATGGTGCCACGCACACAAGAGGGTGAAATCCACGTCTGCGCTCAGTGGTCTGCAAATCAGCTGTGGACCTGAACACGATGGAGGAGTCACCATCTCCTACTACATCAGGCCGTTCTTAAAACTGTATTATTGTTGAGTTATGATTGTTTGCCATTTGTTTGTTTGACATTTTTGTATACTGTACAGAAATTAGTGGTTGAATAAATGAAGCAGTGTAAATATGTTTTGAATATTCTTGTGGCATTAAATATTTTGCTAATGTGTGTTTCATTGATGTTACTTTCACAGCTGGTGGCTCATACTACATGATCTCAAGATCATTAGGGCCGGAATTCGGTGGAGCTGTGGGAATCTGTTTTTACTTGGGCACAACTTTTGCAGGGGCTATGTATATTCTTGGCACAATTGAAATTCTACTGGTAAGTTGTCATTTAAAAAGCTGATAACATTAATGTAGCACTAACTACACATCCCCTGCTTTCTAATAAGCTACAATACTGTTTTTATTAAAAACATCAGAGAGAGAGAGAGCGAGCCATGAGACTTGGAGAAGTACATGTCTATAATGAATTTTATTTATGGAATAACATACTGTCTGAAATGAAGGGGCACAGACCATAATACTGTTTTTATTTTGTACCGTACTCTGGGACCTTATGGTGAAGGGTGGATAAGAAATCAAATTAATAATAATAATTAAAATTGGGATGACAATATTTAATTATTAGATAAAAACATTTACTTTTTTAAAGACTTCCCCGAGTTAATTGGGCAATATATGTGCTATCTCATGTGCGCACACATACTTGTGTACCATGCATGCATTTATGAAAATTGTTGGTGGCAAGAACTACCTTAAAGAGAGCTGTTATTCTCTTCTTTTACACAGAAGAAATTCATTTTTTAAAGAATGATGCTTGCTGTGATGTATGAATAATTTAAACCAGATTTGGTGAGCTTGTGGCTCTCCAGATGTTGGCCATCATCCTTGAGTGTTGGCCATGCTGGTTGGGGCTAATGGAGAATGGAGTCACGGCAACATCTGGAGGGCCACATGTTACTCACACCTGATATATGATTTTTGCTTCACAGATATTTTGCCTATAAGCACTTTTATGCAAACTTAATAAATAGATTAACCTGCACGGATATTTTTCAGATTATATTTCCTAGTTTTATTTTCTAAAACCATGTTGAAATTAAAGAAAAATCCTAATTCGACAAATGATGAAACGGTTGTCAAGTACTAATTTCCCCCAGTTTTGTTTTAAAAGCTAACTTTTTGAGGTAACAGTCTTGCTGTTCTTTGATTAGTTAAGTGATCTGAAAGTTAACTGTCTTGGAATTACATGCTAAAAGCTGTCTGATATTTGTTTTCCCCACAGAAATACATTTCCCCCAATGCTGCTATTTTTGAAGGTGGTGAGGAAGCCATGTTAAACAACATGAGAGTTTATGGGACATGCATCCTTGCTCTGATGGCCCTCGTTGTTTTTGTGGGCGTCAAATACGTCAATAAGCTTGCCCTCGTCTTTTTGGCTTGTGTAATTCTTTCAATTTTTGCCATTTATGCTGGGGTTATTAAAACTGCTTTTGAACCACCAGTCTTTCCGTAAGTAAAGGATAAGCTTTTTTAGATATATGATTATTATTACAGCATGCTTTAAATATCTGGAATCTAATTGGTTCAGACATTGAAGCAAAAATTTGAATTCCTGAACTCAATGAGCCCCACTGAGTCATCAGAACCTTCCCAAACTCATATGTCCTTTATTAGTGTAGCTGGGAGACACTCTAAGCTGAATCTGGAGAGCCTGGCAGGGACTGTCCCATCGTGGGGACAGTTGGGGTGGTTTCCTCTCCAGTTGTCTTCTGCCAGTTGATGAAGACTTTTTATTCCAGCAGGCCCAGCCAGCCGATCCTTTATCTGAAGACAGTGCTGCACGAGTGGAGTTCTGCTCGCACAATGGGACTACCATTTCTTGTCCTCTCCCCTGTGCCCCCACAATCTGCTCCAGATGATCCCCTAATCCTCCAGAGCAGATTTAGTGAGTGTGTGGAGGGCTTGAAGGGACAGGAGAGGGAGAGGAAGTTCCATTGTCCGCAAAGTAATTTGTTGTGCGAGTGGAATTGCCATGTTGGATTTTATTATATGTTACTCCTTTCTCTGCTGTGTTTTTCTTGACGGTGGTGGTTTTTTGACGTTGTGATTTTTAACAACTTGTAAGCCTTCTGAGGAAATACCTTTTCTTAGAAGGGCAGGCTAAATACTTCTGTGCAAATATACTCATGTGCACTTAAATGTAGATTTTGTGCCAGACATCACTCACTTAACTTGCTTCTTTACATGACTTCATTAATTGTTGAACAAATGTACTGATGAACAGGCAGGTACTAAAGTGGAAGTGAGAACATGCACGTTTCTAAAAAGTCTTTATTTTTCAAAATGCATATTCTCTGCTAGGGGAAAAATTCATTTTTCCCAAACGGGGCAGCATTCTTGACTTTACTATATAACTACACTTATCCTAGCTTGAACATACTGGTTAAATCAAATGATAAAAATTTGTTAAATCACATGTAGCATTTGATTGATTTTTCTTTTGTGTTCTAGCGTTTGCCTGCTTGGAAATCGTACATTAGTAAGAGGTACTGAATTTCCTTGTGTCAAATATTATGAAGAAAACAATATGACAGTGACTACCAAGCTGTGGGAAAATTTCTGCGGTAGCCCACTGTTAAATGCCTCCTGTGATGAATATTTCATTCTAAACAACGTCACAGAAATTCAGGGGATTCCAGGAGTCGCAAGCGGAGTCTTACTTGGTGAGTTTACATCTTGTGAAGTGACAACTGCACCTTTAACCACGCGTGCAGAAACTAGGTAACCCAAATGTTTTCTACTGATAGGAGTATAGTAAGGAAGCCTTTTAACTCCTTCTCTTTTTAGCATCAGTTTGTACTTATTGCTGCCTGAACACATTCTCTTCAGACTGTTGTGATTGCCCAGTTTGCCAGGGTTGCTTGTGCATGTGCAAATGACACTTCGCATATGAACTGGTCCTTAGTTCAGTGTTGGCCCTAGACTGACTAATATCCTTCATAGCAGGCTGTGAAGGACTTGCTCACAAATTTATTGGCAGCTGCACGAATGATTATAGTTAGAAAGGGGAAGGGACAAGCAGAATATAAAATGGAAGAATGGTATAAAGAGGTGTGGGATATAGCTATTAACGATAAATTAACATGTGCCATTAAGGTAAGGCGGGGAATATGCAGGAGAAATGATTTTGAGGAGATATGGAAAGTGTTTGTAGAATTTGTACTGTTGAAACGGGGGTCAAATCATTGCAAGAGGTGTTGAAATTTTGGGAGGTTGGATGGATACAATGGAATGGTCTCAGTGGTGGGGTGCACATTTTCATTCTTATTTATTTATGAGTATTACTTAGCCTATTTTTAAAAATTATTTTTATTTTGACAAACTAGTATCCTTGCAAGAAGTATCCTCAGCACCTTTTCTCCGTTGCAGTCCATTTCATTACTTTTATGCAGATTTGTCAGTATGATTTATTTGTGCCACATAATATGCACTTTCTCATGAAAATGAAAAGAAAAAAGAACACAAATTATTGGCCATACAGATCAGTGTTGCCAGTTTTACAAGTGAAAATGAACTGTTTATATTACATTTTGCAACTGCTCAGAAGATAACCCATGACAAGTACACTCAAAGCCCAGTGTGCCCCAGCCCTGCCTTGACTTGAAATCTGGTTCCATTTACACTTAGCAAATGCTTTATTGCTGACTTCAGCAGGATGCGGAATACATTCATCACACTTTTTTGTTATAAGCCTAATAAACATCTTCATTCTGGGATAATTAATATCCCAGAAACTTCAAGTGGTCAAAACGAATAAGGTTTTCTTATTGATAAGAGAACCATATTTTGAGGAAGAGTGAATGATTTGCATGAGTTAGTGTTCATATATGTTTAGAAGCTGGCCTGAGTGAGTAAACTTTTGTTCTTATTCCTCACAGATAATTTGTGGAGTGTATATGGAGACAAATTCGCAATTGTGGAGAAACAGGATCAGCCATCAGTTCCTGTTTTAGAAGAGACAGATGCAAAAATTAAATTCTATGTGTATTCGGATATCATGACCTATTTCACCATGCTAGTAGGAATTTATTTTCCATCTGTGACAGGTATAGTTCCCCTCCCCCCCTTTCTCTGTCTCACAACTGAAGTGATTCTCTGTGTATTGATTAGAATTGCATATTGGATTTAATTTGCCTAACTCAGCTCTATGTGTCCTAGTTGCACATACATGTAAAAAAAAAAGTGCATGTAAATTTCTTTTCTGCCAGCACTTATAATGAGATATTTAGTTTAGACACAGTAATATTACTAACACATGGGGTAATCAGACAACAGTCAAGAGTTGAGAATCAAAGAATGTACTACATTGCAAAATAGAAAGATTGTGGCAATGTGCAGATTATTACAGAACAAAAAATAGTGGTTAAGCAAGCAGCATTCAGATAATACTGGTGGCTTATCTGCAGATGGGTGGCAAGAGATGCTAGACAGATATGTACAGCCTTATTGGTATATGGAGAGTTAAGTGTGTGCTGTTAGCAGCAGTGAGGTTAACTAAAAAAAAATGGGAAGGAGGGAACAGAAATGAAATAAGAAAGAGAAGTGCCTTGGAGTGTGAGAAAAGGAGACAGAGATTGTCTTTGGCATCAGATTGTCAGGGCTTCCTGGGGTCAGATGCTATGTGGAGCTGCAGTTAGCTGAACCTTCAGGTCCCTGGAGCTCTTAAGACATTGCATGGCTTCCTGGAATGGGAGTAAGAGGAGAGGCACATAACAATTTTTCCTTGGGGTTCCTAACTGAACCGAGCTATCCAGGTCAGAGATTCAGTGGTATGTGAGGCTGTTCAGTTAAGGCCTTCAGTTCTGTTCCGCTACTCGCATAATTTCTGCATTACGTAACAAAACGTATATACTGCTTGATTGGTTAAAAGAACAACAGCAACCTAAATGGTTTACAAAAAATTACTATATATTTTGGAAATGGTCTGTCTGTCTATTTGTCTGCCCGCCTGTTCTCTATGGGTTCAGACACCTGTCAAGTTGGTATGATTAAACTCTGCGTGAGGGTTCCTGAGGTTGTGGGGGGTGGTCTTCACTGCCAGGTGCCATTGTGAATTAAGATAGCGGACCAAAACATGACTTTGCCCAGTTTGGTGTGACAGGCTCCAAACTGCGCTGATGTGGATGCTGCTGAAAATATCACCCAGTTTCATGTGACTTTGCCCAGTTTGGTGCTACAGGTCCAAACTGCACATAATTGGATGACTCTGAAGGTACTATTGCCCAATTTGGTGTAACAGATCACAACTGTGTTGATGTGGATGCCTCTCAAAATATTGTCACCCAACTTGGTATGAGAGCTCCTGAGATGGAGGCAGCAGTCTTCATCTTTGTTTTGATACTGGATGCTGTTTTGAATCAAGATGGCAAACCAGAAAGATGACTTTGGCATGACTTTGCCCAAACTGATGTGACTGTTACAAATGAGGTCTCCTGAGGTGGAGGAGCTGGTTTTTGCTACGTTTGGATGCTGTTGGATGCAGTGAGCTGTGTGTCTGCGTTGAAGGCAGGAAACATCAATTTAGGAAGTAGAATGCTCTGAGTTAAACACCCTCTCTGCTGCAAAGCACCTCTGTATTTTTCATGGAGGCAAGAAGAGACCTTTCTTGAAAGTTGCATCTACATTTCATAAAGGTAAAGGTACCCCTGACCATTAGGTCCAGTTGCGGATGACTCTGGGGTTGTGGCGCTCATCTCGCTTTATTGGCCGAGGAGCCGGCATTTGTCCGCAGACAGCTTCCGGGTCATGTGGCCAGCATGACTAAGCTGCTTCTGGCAAACCAGAGCAGCGCACAGAAACGCCGTTTACCTTCTCGCCGGAGGGGTACCTATTTATCTACTTGCACTTGACGTGCTTTCGAACTGCTAGGTGGGCAGGAGCTGGGACCGAGCTACGGGAGCTCACCCCGTCGCGGAATTGATGGGGCATTCTACAGATGTCCACAGGACCTTAAAGGGTGTAGAGCCAGTGCTTTAGATTAATGGGCATTCTTTTTTCTCCTTTCATTCTAATCCCACATCATCTAGATGGAGTAGGGGTCGTATCTCCCCAGCCAATGAATCTCAGAAACTGCTTGTGCCAGCTAGGATAACTACTCACTCAACGAGCATGCCAGCTGCTTCCACTGCCTTTTCTGTAGGTGCAGAGCAGCCACTAAACTCATTCAGTAGACATTATAAGACAGGCAGGTATGCTTCAGGTGAAGCACCATTTGGTCAGAGGGTCCTGCAGCAGGTCCTTTGCCAATAATTTGGTTGCTATCAATTTCCCACCCTATATCTGGAACATTTAGTATGTCCTGGATTGATGAGCTTCACTAGCAACATAGAAAGAACCATTGGGCTCATATCTGATGGGTAGTTATTATTAATAGTTTCCTGGCTTTAGGTAATTCTAAAGTACTATTTTTTTCATAGGTTTTTTTTTAAGGAAGTGGGTTTCCTACATTTTAGGCAATGTTGTTCCTCCTAGACTGACTTGGTAGAGCTTAGTGAGGACGCAACTGCATGCTGGGAGCGTTCTACTTCCCTAAATTGTTATTTCCTGCCTTCATCACAAGGTGATACTGCAATCTCAGATTGAAGAACTTCTATCAGCATCAAGAACTACCTTTCGGGTAGGAACCAATGGTTCCTTTTCACTCATCTGTTGTTCAGACACCAGTCCAGGGCCCACACAATATCCTGTGATTCAGATGTCATGGAGAAATAGAGCTGTGTCATCAGTGTACTGACCGCACCTGGTCCCAAACCACCTAATGAGTGCTCTCAGAATCTTTATGTGGATATTAATTAGTATTAGAGAAAGAATTGTTCCTTGCAGCACCACACAGCACAACCCCCAGGGGGCTGAAGGGCACTCTCCCAATCCTGTTCTCTGGACTTAGTCCTGGAGGTAGAACTGGAACCACTGTAACACAGTGGCTTGAGTTCAGATACTCAGAATTCAAATGTGTTATTCAGAGTGAAGCGTTTACTTTAGTAAGAACAAAGAAATAAGAATTTGTGTGTCTGTAAAAATCTTATATTCAGTATTTAAGGTTTTTTGGCGTGAGAGAAGTATTTTTGGGTACGCAATATGAACAAGTCCTGCAGATGAGATAGAGCATATTATTTTAGTATGACTGCCAAAACAGGGAATGAACTGGAATTTTGCTGGCATCTCTTTCCATGTCTATAAAAATAAGGGCTTTGTCTTCCTTTGTGTTGCTTTGATTCCTGCAAGAAATGGAAGAAGCTGTCCGAACTTGTTCTCTCATGTAATGAATACTATTGGGACAGAATACATTTGCTAAGGTCATCCATGTCCTGATATTAGCTAATTGGCTGAAAAGTATTGCTGGAACTCTTCCATAGAAGTCTCTTGTACAGCACAAGCTGAACTTTTGTACTGACATCTTTGCTTTTTCCTTTATGGTCATAACACTTTTCTTCACCTTTTTCAAAGTATAGAGGTAGACTTTGTTTTGAACCTTTTGGTTTATATGTCTTTTCTTCAGGAGTGAAGCTTGCTTGTAAAATAGTGAAGAAACATTCATTTTGGCAAGCCTTTAGGGGTTGCTTCTTAGCCTTGCCAGAATGGATTGCAGACTTGTTGCTAGAAGTTTGCTACAGTGTAGTTTTGCCTCATAATATGATTAAAATATATTCTTCTCTCAGTTCCAACAGGTAGCCTGGGCTGTGTAATGTATCAAACAAGGTCGTTATTATGTTCATATGTCTGTGTCCACAAAAGAGACATTGACTACAGCTAATTATAGTTTCTGTATTTGAGTATCACCAAATATTGTTCTCAAAACATAGTTCTTTTATCCTAAATTTATAGTTGCACTAAAATATATTTTCTGCTTCTACCAGTACTTTTCTGCTGCTGGTTTTGGATTTATTATTCTCTTTATTATTGGAAAACCATAATACATAGAAAAACATTTTTCTTTAAAAAAATGAATTTATAAAAATACATTTGCAGCATTAGTAAACTAATCATTAACTAATTATCTTTTAAAAAATAATAATTTTATTAATATTATATTTATACACTTTGTAGCCAAGACCAGATATCAAAAATAAAGAAAACAGGTAGTGAGGGAAAGAAAAAAGTTGAGAAAATAAAAATAAAAATGACATATAAAGGAATATTATCTATCCTTAGGCATCCTTTTCTTCAGTAGTCCATGACTTTTCCAGCCTTTACCCAATAGTCCAAAAGCCTTCGGAACCTTTCTAGGCTCAGCAAAACGTGAAAAGCACAGTATTTCTCCTAATACATAGCCTGAACTAATTTTCTAAACAGAGAAGACCCTTTTCTGTCTAGCAGCCTCATTGATTAGGCATAGGAGCCTTTGGCACACTGCAAGATGTGGCCAAGAATAAACTTTGACTACAGCTCTTGGTTAAGGAGGAGAGAGCTTAACCACAACCCCGGGTCTGAACTGCACACTATGCCAAAACTTGGCTTAGCTGTGCGCTGCACTGAGCTAAAAGGGTTGGGAAGGAACAAAGCAATTATGAGCTTCTCCCCAGAATGGGACATTCCCAGGGGAACTGAAGGAGGCAGTGGTGCGCCCGCTTTTAAAGAAAACATCATTAGATCCCTTAGATCTATCCAATTACCGCCCGGTTTCGAATCTTCCATTCCTGGGTAAGGTGATTGAGAGAGCGGTTGCGGAACAGCTTGGTAGGTTTCTGGATGAAACATCGGCTCTGGATCCATTCCAGTCCGGCTTCCGCGCTGGTCATGGGACCGAGACGGCTCTGGTCGCCTTAACAGATGATCTCCGTAGGCAGCTGGATCGAGGCGGGTCGGGGCTGCTGATTCTTCTAGACCTGTCAGCAGCCTTCGACATGGTCGATCACGAACTCCTGGACCACCGCCTTGCCGACGTGGGGATCCAGGGCACAGCCCTTCAATGGCTGCGCTCGTTTCTCTCTGGTCGGGGACAGAGGGTGGCGCTTGGGGGGGAATTGTCATCCCGCCACTCCTTGGTGTGTGGAGTGCCTCAGGGTGCGATTCTCTCCCCGATGCTTTTTAACATCTTTATGCGCCCCCTTGCCCAGCTTGTCCGGAGTTTTGGGCTGGGCTGCCATCAGTATGCTGATGACACCCAACTCTATCTGTTGATGGATGGCCATCCTGACTCGGCCCCAGACACACTGATCAGATGCTTGGAAGCTGTGGCTGGATGGTTACGTAGGAGCCGGTTGAAGTTAAATCCTTCGAAGACAGAGGTCCTCTGGCTGGGACGGGACGATATGAGATTGAGGGGGCAACTCCCTTCTCTTGCGGGGGTGCAATTAATGCCAGCACCGTCCGTTAAGAGTTTGGGTGTAATCTTCGATACCTCCCTCTCCATGGAGGCGCAGATTGCAGCTATAACAAAGGCGGCATTTTTTCATCTCCGCCAGGCTAAGCAGTTGGCTCCTTACCTCTCTCGCCCTGACCTAGCCACTGTGATCCACGCGACGGTCACCTCCAGACTGGATTATTGTAACTCGCTCTACGTGGGGCTGCCCTTGAGACTGACCCAGAAACTCCAGCGGGTGCAGAATTCCGCAGCGAGACTCCTTACGGGGTCTTCGCTGCGAGATCACATTCATCCGGTGCTATACCAGCTGCACTGGCTCCCGGTGGAGTACAGGATCAGGTTTAAGGTGCTGGTTTTAACCTTCAAAGCCCTATACGGCCTAGGACCCTCGTACCTACAGGACCGCCTCTCCTGGTATGCCCCACAGAGGAACTTACGGTCTTCAAATAAAAACATCTTGAAGGTCCCAGGCCACAGAGAGGTTAGGCTGGCCTCAACTAGAGCCAGAGCTTTTTCGGCTGCGGCTCCAACCTGGTGGAACGCCCTGTCGCAAGAGACAAGGGCCCTGCAGGACTTGACATCTTTTCGCAGGGCCTGTAAGACAGAGCTGTTCCACCAGGCCTTTGGTCAGGGCGCAGCCTGACTCCCTCCTTTGGCAATCTCTACAAAGCTTTAGTCTATGGTTGCCATCAATTTGTATTTTAATTAATTTTTAGAATGTATTTATAATGTTGTACTGTTTTAGTGTTGTTAGCCGCCCTGAGCCCGGCTTCGGCTGGGGAGGACGGGATATAAATAAAATTATTATTATTATTATTATTATTATGCTAAGCCATGGTTTTGTTTAGCATTGTATGTGACTATGACCAGTGTATTGACATTGACCTGGTTCTCACATCATTGTAAGTCATGAGTATGGCTTACCATGACTGCACTGACTCCCAATGGGGAGTTTGCATCTGCTTTGTTTCTGCCTAGACTCTTTAGGTCAGCACGGGGCAGCAGCTCAGCATGTTTTCTGAAGCTGAGATCATAGTTAAGCTCTCCTACCTAATCATGAGCTGTAGGCAAGGTGTGTCTTGTGGTTTTGGTTAAGGAGGACACCTTGCCCACAATCCCAGGTTCAGGCAATGGGATAAGCCATCCCTTATCTTAGCTGCTTCTCTAAAAAGCCCAGGGAGAGGCAAAGAAGCTACCTCCTTGGGAGCCAGCAAATTTGCATATTTGTGCTAAATTTTGGTTTAATGTGATGTGCAAACGCAGCCACTGTGACTGTTTGTAGAGCTGGCAGTTGGAAAGGACTTTTGGAACATTTGACTCTTGGAGGATCGTCATATGCAGACCTTCTTAATAGTCTCCACCAAGTCTTGATGCTGTTATTCCATTCCCTTCTCCCTTTCCAGCTCTCTGCTAAAGGTGCGATTGACCAGATAGGACCAGATAGTCCTTTGCTTGTTCTGGTAGTAGTATGTTACGGTTGTTGCTTTAATGACAGGTTGCATCTATCAACTTAATATAACTGGAATAATCAGAAACTAGATGACATCCCATTTTTTTTCTATTTCTGTATGTATTTTAGGCATTATGGCAGGTTCAAACAGGTCAGGGGATCTTCGGGATGCTCAAAAAGCTATTCCAACTGGAACAATTATGGCCATTTTAACAACATCATTTATCTGTATCCTTTTAATGCAATTTGCGGGGTCTAGATTTCATATTCTTGGTTTGTTTAATTAGGTTTTTGTTTTGAGAATGCACAGGTGGCTGACATACGATAGTAAAATGTGGTTATGAGGGAATCCTAAATATTTTATTTTCAATATGAGTAGGGTTGTTGGGATTTGATGAATCTTTAAGCAGAAAGCATAAGCCACTTCTCCAGGAATAGTACATCTCGTATTAGTTTATTTGGAAGCTACACCTCATTCTGACTGATTGATAAAACCAGTGGAATTTGCAGCCTTAATATTGGTAGATAAAGAGCTTTATGCTATTTTAAATGGAAACATGTGAACCATCATAGTATTGTTTGTTTTATAACATTAAATTGAACCAGAGATATATGAAAATAATACACTGTAATGGAGCAAATAATAAAGCAAAAACGTGAATTTTTGGAGAGAATATCTCCCTTCTTTTTCTGTTCTGATTTTTTTTTCCATTTTAGGTATAGAAACAGAATATGGTACAGTCAGAGTTTAAATACTCTGCCAAATTCAATGTGGAAGTTAAAACCTTTCCCAAAGAAATCAGTGCTTAGCTTCTTTGGGATGTTTAGTAATGTGTGCTGTTCTTCTAATGCATGGGTAGGCAAACGAAGACCCGGGGGCCGGATCCGGCTCAATCACCTTCTAAATCCGGCCCACGGACGGTCCGGGAATCAGCGTGTTTTTACATGAGTAGAATATGTCCTTTTATTTAAAATGCATCTCTGGGTTATTTGTGGGGCATAGGAATTCGTTCATATTTTTTTCCAAAACATAGTCCGGCCCCCCACAAGGTCTGAGGGACAGTGGACCGGCCCTTGCTGAAAAAGTTTGCTGACCCCTGTTCTAATGCTTTCCAGGTGTTCTTGTGGACCTCCTGTCCCCTCCCCACTTTTCCAATTTATGTTCCTTTTAAGTTCCTTGAGTCTTAATTGCAGATTTGTCCTGCATAGTACTTTTTGGAGCCTGTATAGAAGGAGTCGTCTTGAGAGACAAGTACGTAACAGTGGGGGTTTTTTGCTACATAATTTCAAAAACTTCCTGTCCATACCTGTTTAAGTGGATGAAAATGTGAGATTGGGAAGTGTATACTGCAGAAGCTGGTATAGATAATTCAAGATAATCTGCTGCCTGCTTTAAGTTGCACTTTTATTCATTCTGCATGCGTGTCCATGTTGCCAGTGCATGTCTTTCTACAAATAACATAGCCCTAAATCTTTTGGTTTGTTTGTTTTTGGTGGGGGGGAGAGAAGCAGACTGTTATTTGTATAAGTTACGGTACTTAACTTTTCTTCCTTGTTTAATGTTGCATATGATCTTTCTCCGCAAGATTTGGACAAGCAGTTAATGGAAACCTGGTGATTGGTACGTTGGCATGGCCCTCTCCGTGGGTCATTGTGATTGGCTCATTCTTTTCCACATGTGGTGCTGGTCTCCAGAGCCTCACTGGTGCTCCCCGGCTGCTACAGGCAATTGCAAGAGATGGCATAGTACCATTTCTTCAAGTGAGTTTTTGCCTTCAAAATTTTCAGTGCTTTTACAATTTTGATTTTAAAACCCCCCAAATCTGTTGGGTAGCCCAATTCCAGCCTCTCACTTTAGCTGTAGTGATGTATATATCACTTCCTTTGCTGTTGTGATAGGTGGGAGTTGATGTAATATTTCTAAGATGTGTCACACCCACAGCTGTGGTTTGTTAAGTGTGCTGTGAATTGTAGTTGTGTGAGGGGTGAACTACAGTTCCTATAATTTTTTTCGGGGGATCATTATGCTTTAATTGTATGGTGCAGATGTGACTGTGGTCTGCTAACATATGCAGCTGAGGGAAAAACAGTAAGCTCCACTTGATTTATTCTGCTTGAGGTTTGTGTGTAACAAATAATAGTTTGACTCTTTACATGGGGCACTGTAATATTCACTTACATCAAGTTCATGCCATGCATTTTTGAAACATATGTATTTCAGATCGATTAAAGCATTAATCCTTTGTGTGTTTATTTTTCCTCCTTTTTTGTTTTTTGAAAGGTATTTGGTCATGGAAAAGCAAATGGAGAACCGACATGGGCTTTGCTTCTCACTGCGTTGATTTGTGAGATAGGGATTCTCATAGCTTCCCTGGACAGTGTAGCTCCAATCCTTTCCATGTAAGCATGTGTATATAGGTTTTACCTATATTTTTGTAATTTATTTTGAAATAATAATAAGTAGTAGTAGTAGTAGTAGTAGTATATTACAGTTACTGTTTAATTTATGATGCTTACACGAATTTTTATTCCCTGACCAAAGTGTATTATATTACTATAGGACACATGCAGGCAACCCTTGTAGCATCTGTAGGCTCCCTGCTCCCCACTGAATGTTGGAAAGCCCTTTTGCAAACAGCCATGTACGGTGCTTTGAAGTCCTTGCCCACCTGTCAAATTTACCCCTCCAAGAATGGAGAGACGAGACTCTGGCCTATAAACAAAAAAAGAAAAATTCCTATCCTTGCCGTATATAAAGTGTGTGTGTGTGTGTGTGTGTGTGTGTGTGTGAGAGAGAGAGAGAGAGAGAGAGAGAGAGAGAATGATGATGATGGATGGAGGGGAAGTAAAGAAGAGAAGAGGCGAGAGGAGAGGAGAGGAGAGAGAGAGAGAGGTTATCTGTCTACTTTTGCCTGCCCACTGCTATATCTGGCCTCCAACCACTTCCCAAAAGCAATGCCCCCGACCCAGAAAAGCTTGTCCATCCCTGGTCCAAGATGTAGATGGAATTTGTTGTGGGACTACAACTTCATTCACCCCTCCAAGCCCAGCTGTTGTGGTATGTTTAGGACAACGCTGCACATTTGAAATACAGTGGATGCTCGGGTTGCGAACGTGATCTGTGCGGAAGGCACATTCACAACCCGCAGCATTCGCAGCCCTCAGCGCCGCGTCTGCACATGCGCAAAGCGCGATTGCCGAAACCTGGTAGTAACCCGTTCCGGTACTTCAGGTTCGGCACGGTGCACAACCCAAAAACGCACAAGATGAAGCGTCTGTAACCCGAGGTACGACTGTAATTCAACACAGGCAGTTATGTGGGTCATCTGCCTCAGTCCTTGATTACAGGCTATGAGGCTAGCCCGTTGTATCCTTAGGAGAAGTGAACTTTATCACTTTGTCTGTGTCACTTTTCTTCCTCCTTTTCCTTTAACCTAACTATCTCTGTTCCAGCTATCTCTGTCCCCAAGATTAGAGTGGGTGGTGATACTCATGTCAATTGTAAATATATTTTTATTTTGTAGGTTTTTCCTTATGTGCTATCTGTTTGTGAACTTGGCATGTGCAGTTCAAACTCTGCTTCGTACACCAAATTGGAGACCTCGTTTCAAGTATTATCACTGGTACGGCATGTTCAAATTTATTTTTTGAAGGAGAAAAACAAGCATTTGTTTTATAGTGCTATGGTCTTTTTCGGTTTAGTAGACATTGTATTGAGTTGTGTATGTGTGTGTGCATGCAAGAAAGCTGTAAGAGAACACAAAATACCTATAAGAAACAATGGAAAGAAAAATGGATTTCTGTGTTGGTTATTCAGTTGTTTCCTATTAGTCTATAGAAGAACAGGAGGGTAGATAAATGCAAACAAGAACACAAAGATAGCTGCTGTTAAACAGAGTATAGGCATGAGTAATAGATTTCATGGGACAAATTAGAATGTAAAGAAAATTAGAAAGGGTTTCCCACACACATTTTGCCAGTTATTCATGTTCAGAGCGAAGCAAATGAGAAACTGGATTTATTTATTGAGCTCTTGTCATAGCATAATTGTCACATTTTTAATGGCATTTTCACTTACAAGAAAAGCCCCATGCCAGAGCACAGGCTTTCCAAAAGGGGTTCAGGGGCGAGCATCTCAGCCTCTCATCCCACTGAGACCCCAGGCCATGTGCCCTCTGGAGACCCTCCTCCTTCCTTGGAGGTGCCTGAAGGTTCTGCTGGGGGGCAGGAAAGGGGGCGCAGACAGACGGTGAAGGTTTTTGTTCACCCACTGCTTCTCCTTCTTGGTTTGCATGTCACAGGGTAAGCCTGTGGCTGTTCTTGACCATTTGCTATGAGTCGGCCAAGCCCAGGCGGCCTAGGAGCTCATGGCTGAGATGGCGAGGTACGAGGGGACCAAGGGTGGTGGCAGCTGGAGAAGAAAAGGAAGGGGCCTGAGGCCTAACAGAGCCTCAGAAATTACAACACAACAATTACACAGTGAATTTTTGGAGTGAAAAAATAGAGTGTGACTATTATGCGGCGGCTACAATTAAGCTGTGAAATATGACATTGTTGAAACACTAGTGGGTTGTATTGTACATTTCATAATTCATTTAGTACAGGGAGATTGGGGCAAGAAAATGGGAAAAACAGGAATATGCCACCCACCTGGCTGTTTCTGTTTCTTCTTCCCCCCAGTCTGGGGTGACTCGTATGTTTGTGTGTGTATTTGTGTATATACAGATATCTACTTGTACAGCATGAATGTTAACAACTTGTGTTATGTGTTTCTTTTAGGACTCTCTCATTCTTGGGGATGAGTTTGTGCCTTGCCTTGATGTTCATTTGCTCTTGGTACTATGCTTTGGTAGCCATGCTAATAGCAGGATGCATTTACAAATACATAGAATATAGAGGGTAAGAATACGCATTTATCTGATCTTCAGTGTAGTTGCTCAAACAATAAATTAAAAAGGTACATTCTTCCTGCACTTCCTTGCATATCTGCATAACTTCTATTAAATCTCACCCAGAAAAACGAATACCTCCCATCAACTTCTATAGGAAAAGTATGTGTGTTTTCCATATCTTGTTGGGGTTTTCAGCAATTTTCTGGGCTAGAAACATGGAGGGTTAATTAAAGATATTGTTTACATAACCTTACATAAATGCCATTTAACTGCTACCCTGTTATGTGAGTTTGTTCTTTGAGAAATACATGAATCAGTGATGTTCAGATTTCTTGTGTGCTTTTCAAAGTCCTTCTGTGATTTTACAGTAAGGAGAATAGGGAGACAGCATATGTAGTTACATGACCCAGCTACTGAAGTTGATGCTACTTTACCCTGTTTAATTTTGTGTAAATATAAATAAATATATCATTGGGTTCACCAGCCCTACCCCATCACCTGGACTCGTATTTAAAAATATACGAATTATGTATAGGAGGGCTCATGCTGGCATGGCACATGGCTCGCCTAGGAAATTATTCCACAAACTGGGCACCAGTGGAAAAAGGAACCAGTTAATATGAATATGCAGAGGTGCTTCCTCTAGGAACAGTTATTAGAGTGGGATCAAATTGGGATGATTCAGGATGCAATACATCAATAACGTGTCCTGGTCAAGCTTTTTGACATGAACATGATGCTCTGTGCTTGTGCAACTCCCTATTTGTTTCAGTGAGGCATGAAAGTTCCTGGCAGATTATGTCATGTAAGTCTTTGTCACTTGTATCCGGAAGCCCAGTTCATCCATTCCAGTTGCTTCATCATCTACTAAAGACTAAAACATAGACCAGGACTTAAAGAGGATATAAATTGGCTGCAAAGTAATAGAAAATTCATTTTTCTCATTTATTACTTTCATCCAATGTAATCTAATTCCAAACCCACCAAAATAAATTAAATTTTCCGGTGTTTTGTAAAAGTTCTCTTACTCATATGTTTTCATTTAAATGAATTCACCTTTCCTGTGTTTCAAACACTTCTACGTGAAAGCAGTGGTTCAAATATATTCTTTCATGGATTTACAGTTGGGTAGAATAGTTGTTTAAAATAAACTGTAATTGCAAAGTTGTGTCAGTCTAGACCCAATATATTTTTGTGTATTGTCTTATGTTTAGCGAAGCAATAGAGGTATTATCATAAACATACAATTTTTTTGACTCTCTTTTTTATTTCTTCTTTTAAGAGCTGAAAAAGAGTGGGGAGACGGAATCCGGGGTTTGTCCTTGAATGCTGCTCGTTATGCCTTGCTTCGGGTTGAACAGGGTCCTCCTCATACTAAAAACTGGAGGTAAAATTAAATGCACTATATTTAATAAATCCAGATCCATTAAAGTTGCAATCCTATTCCTAACAATTGGAAGTAAGCTCCATTAAACTCAGTTTTTAAACTTGCTTCTAAGCCAGACATCATGTCCAAAGTCCGTCTCGGGGGTCTAATTTGGCCCGTTGGTCGATTGAATCCAGCCCCCGTGGCAGTGTAATTCCTGGGGTAAAATCCTAAAAAAAGCTCAGCAACTTCAATCCAAAAAAAAAAGCCTCAACAACTTTGGGGTAAAATTGTAAAAAAAAACTCAACAACTTTGGTTGGCCCTCACACATGTTCACTTCATCAAATCCGACCCTCTTTGAAAAAGGTTTTGGGCACCCCTGTTCTAAACAGACATGAGCTAAGTCTGGTCCTGGTGTCCTTAGTTGTTGAGATTAAAACTTGCTGCTGTCTAAGTAGTCCCATCCTGTACTCTTGGACCCTCAAGAGCAGGGGTAGACTTCCATTTATTGTTGGACTCACAATTCCCATCAGCCTCAGTCAGCATAGCCATTGGCCCAGGATTATGAAAGCTGCAGTAAATCAACATTTGGTTATCACCGTACTAGAGTGTGATGGAATGTCAGGAACTGGTTTTCTCTTCTCTCTCTCTCTCTCATGCGCGCACGCGCGCACACACACACATTGTTGTCATAATCCTGCATTATATATTTCACTAACCCCAGAGTCGTCTGCAACTGGACTTAACTGTCAGGGGTGCTTTACCTTTTTTTATCAGCTATTTTACTTACTTACTTACTTACTTACTTACTTACTTACTATTTTACTTACTTACTTACCGTACTTACTTACTGTATTACTTTAGGCCACAAGTCTTGGTTCTGCTGAACTTGGATTCAGAGCAGGTGGTAAAACACCCACGGCTGCTTTCCTTCACCTCTCAATTGAAAGCTGGGAAGGGACTGACCATTGTGGGATCTGTCCTTCCAGGAATATACTTGGATAAATTCACAGAAGCTCAAAGGGCTGAGGAGGTATGTATTAAAACACAGCTGCAGTAATAAAATTTGCAAATATGAATAGCTTGGGTTTAATCATTTTAGAAAGCACTGATTTTTTCTGCTGTAATGTATTCTGTAATTTTGACTATATTTAAGCATGTTGGAAAGGGTAGTCAAAATATTTTGGATCTTTAGGTGCACTTAAATGATGGCAGATAATTTTACATTTGTTGGATCTAATTACTACAAATGTGATTATTTATGATCATATTATGTCATTGCTTTAGTGATATAAATCTAGAAAACGCTGCAGTGAAAATGATTTAACTTTTTTTAAAAAAACCATGGGCTAGAGATTGAAGCTAGTTAGTTAATACGGACTAAGGTGCAATACTCAGTCAGGGATAGTGCCGAAAAATGAATGGAGGAGAGTAGGAGGGAGGAAAACATGTGGACTCAAACTATTAACCAAAGCCAAGGGATTATAAAATGTTCTGGCCTCGGCATCCATTGTAATTAATGATGTATCAAAAGGATTTTTACAAAGATGATATCAGTGACAACTTGATATTTACTATAGATTATAATTATATTCGCTAATGATTTATATAAATATTTGTATAAATTATATAAATATCATCCAAGACCATGACCTTACATTGGTTGGCATGCTGTGTGAGAGAATCATGTAAATGCCAATTATTATAACTGATTTTTTTTTTTGAGGGGGAGACAAGGTAGTTAATAAAACCAACACCCTCACATCATCAGCACTGGTCTTCTGTTTCCTTTGGTGAATACGAAAAGACTTACAGAGTTGGAGAAACACAGTACAGTTAACCTGGATTAGTGTTGGATAATCAGGAGCCCCACATTACTGAGGTCATTAACGCCTTGCTATTTGGAAAGGTGGGATTGCAATCGGATTTGAGGTCAGGGTTCCATCAAATATATTTGTTGAGATAGATAGCTACAAAATATAGTCCCAAAGTGTCAGAAATCCTGCAGATTTCAGCTGTAAAATTAACAGAATAATAAGAAAAGCAATTTATGAAGTCAAAGCTTTGTAATGAGCTTTACACTTCATTTTATGAAGACGCTAGGAAATGGGTAATTAGTACATGGCTTGGCAGTCCTAATTCTTTCTTCATTAGTTTCATTTTTTGAAATGTTAAGTCCTTCCAAAAAGTAAGCTTGGCTCTAAAAAGCTCACATAGAGATCTTCAGCCTGAACTAAGATTATGTTTGGAAGAGCTATACACTAATGGGGAATCTAATGTTAACACAAACATTGAGTAGCCAGACTTTTGTATTGCTGTCAGTTCCATCTATTTTTTAATAGAATATTTGAGGGTAAGTCTAAGACAGACTTTCTTTAATAAGCAAAAGAGAAAATTAGGGAAGAGCAGGTTTGCTCTGCCAAATGTACTGTTCTGCTGGCTTCTGGTTTAACTTGGAGGAATTCTAAAATTAATATTAGAATTGGTAACATTGCCTTTTTGGTACCCTTTACAGTTTTTAATCTTTGTTTTTTGCAGCTTACCAATATGCACTGGCATATATGTGCATTGATTAAATGGTAGCATAAAAATGAATCCTGATGCAATTGTGTCAAGATCCTTTTTTTACACTGCAGTTTCAGTCTATAACCTTGTACTGCTGCACACCCGTAAGCCTGCAAGAAAAAGAAGATGTAAACTGAGAACTTAAGCAAACTGTGTATGATCTGTAGTCTGTACAATGCCTAGAGTGGGGTGGGGAGGAAGATTGCAACACATTTGTGCCACTCCACAAGCAAAATCAGTAATTCCATTAATTCTCCCCATCTCCAGCCCAGAGAGGGATTTTGAGAAGGAAACATCCTTACAACAGGAACTTTGAGCACATTTTGTCTGTCTTTGGAGTTCTGATTCCTTGGGTTAGGATGGGGATGTAGGGTTCAGGGAAGACATTTGCTTATTAATTAGTAGCTTTAAGAGCAGATGCTGTCTGGGAAACATGCCTGATACCCTGGGCTGGCTGGAACGGCCAACAGAATCTGGGTACCAGTTGTCAGTCAAGCAGGATATTTTTATTAAAAGCATTGTAATACATTGTGTCCCTGCCCCAAATGAGGGAGTGACACACACCAAGTATTTCAAACAGCAGTATTTATACACTTTTCAAGCAAAGAGGAAGCAAATGGGTAGTTATATGGCAATACTTCCTTCTACTAGCTTCTACTGGTTTAATCACGAGGCCTAACAACTTTCTTATCTTTCCGTCCTTCCTGATTCCTCAACAGTTTACAGCATTAGCTCCTGCGTCATTCTCTTGTGGTTCTCTTGCAAGCACAACCTCCACCGTCACTTGTTCAGCCCTTCTGACATCTGACGCAATTGGCTGTGGGGTTCCCCACTACACTTAGAAGTATTCTCCTTTTGCCTGGTTTGAGGCTGTGCAGGCTCCCTGTGAAACTAGAGCAGTAAGCCAGTGGGAACAACTTCTGCATCCTGGGGGTGCACTGTGACATTTAAGCAGGCCAGCTTTGAAGTTGGATAGTACAATGCAGAGGACTGCTGTGACTCAGTGACCCACCCCTCGTATTGATGGGTTTGTTGCTCTTGAGTGTACATTTTTATGGCCACTTTCCTTCCCTGACATTCCTCCTTTGGGCACCTTAGGCATACTTTGGGTCTAAGTAATGATAATAATAATAATAATAATAATAATAATAATAATAATAATAATAATAATTTTTATTTATATCCCGCCCTCCCGAGCCGAAGCCGGGCTCAGGGCGGCTAACAACAATCAAATAATCAAACAGTCAAAGAATCACACATTCTAAAAATATTTCATTATAAAAATTAATTAAAATCAAATTGATGGCAACCGATTAAGCAAAATTCTGTGCAGGTTGCCAGAGGAGGGGGTCAGGCTGCGCCCTGACCAAAGGCCTGGTGGAACAACTCTGTCTTGCAGGCCCTGCGGAAAGATGTCAGGTCCCGCAGGGCCCTAGTCTCTTCTGACAGAGCATTCCACCAGATTGGAGCCGCAGCCGAGAAGGCCCTGGCTCTAGTTGAGGCCAGCCTAACCTCTCTGAGGCCTGGGACCTTGAGGATGTTATTATTTGCAGACCGTAGGTTTCTCTGTGGGGCGTGGGGCATACCAGGAGAGGCGGTCCCGTAGATACGAGGGTCCTAGGCCGTATAGGGCTTTAAAGGTTAAAACCAGCACCTTAAACCTGATCCTGTACTCCACCGGGAGCCAGTGCAGCTGGTATAGTACCGGATGAATGTGATCTCGCAGCGAAGACCCCATAAGGAGTCTCACCGCGGCATTCTGCACCCGCTGGAGTTTCTGGGTCAGTCTCAAGGGCAGCCCCACGTAGAGCGAATTACAATAATCCAGTCTGGAGATGACCGTCGCATGGATCACAGTGGCTAGGTCAGGGAGAGAGAGATAAGGGGCCAACTGCTTAGCTTGGCGGAGATGAAAAAATGCCGCCTTTTTTTATAGCTATAATCTGCGCCTCCATAGAGAGGGAGGTATCGAAGAACTTCTTGCCCCACCTCCAGCCCTTGTGCCATTGGGTATTTATTGTGACAAGAGGAACTGCATAAAGAACTGGATGAAGAAGACTCAGATCTTATATAATTTTATATAATTTTGTGTTTCCCAATTATTTCAAGAATACCTTTAAACAGAATTTTTGTGTGGGTATCCCATGCTTTCTCACTCAAAGGTTGCATTATTTTACATCTACTGTAATGCATCTCCTATGTGAGTGCAGACTGACTTTTTTTTTTTGTATTAAGCACCAAAAGTCAACATGTTTTTTAACAAAACAGTATCCAGGAAGACTCAAAATATTTCCTTCCGTGCAGTGACAGAGCTTGAAATCGGACTTCGCACTGCAATGTGCAATTAGAATGAACATGAGATCATTTGTGGCTTAGTGCTTAAAGCAGAATGCTTTATTCTTGGCCTGTGCAAGTCAGCATTTACTTAAATGTAGCACCCTCTTAATATTTAACAAGGTATTGAAGCTCAGAGGTCTGCCTGGAGTAATTCCCAGAAACGAAAGGAGATGGCTCAGCAATTTGTAAATGGTTGCAGAGATGAATTTTTAATCACAATAGTTTGATTATTTAAAAACCAGTTACTCTATTGTATTCTGAACACAATTTTACAATTGTCCCTTGCTACTGGAAAGATAAAAGTTTTATTTACTTTGAATAAACACTGTATACATACAGGTTGTGCAGCAACGCGTTCTCTGAGCAACGCCAAAAAAATAAAGTGAAATGAAATGAAATATTAAATACAAGAACAAAATAAAAGACAGCATAATAGAAAAGCTTTTTAACTCACAGAGGCGGTAAGGCCAGCCACACCTTAGAAGCCCAGTGTCTTAAGATAACAAAAACATAACCAAAAAGCCATGAAGAAGGCACCAGGTGAGCCTCTCTTGGGAGTCTGTCTGGGAAGCATCAGGGTTCCTATCTATACAACATATATTGCTAAAATTATTCAAGAATAAATGCAAATCATGCCAAGGATAGCTTTAAAACGAGGAATAGCTCTGGCCTGTACATATTTTCTAGCTTTAGAAGCAAAAGCTTGTTAAGGTTCCATCAGCACAGATTTTCCTTGTGCAATGAAATCTTCTCCCGCACTCCCCCCATGCTCCCCCTAAATATGTTCTGGGGGTTCGAACCCCCCAACCCTCCAAAGCAGATTTGGGGATCACTGGGGGAGAAAGGGGTAAATTCCTGTTATATTCTCTGGAATCCTTGCACTAGTTTTTATTAGGGCAAATGAGTTAGTTGAATACAGTGTCATATTATATGTAATTAGTAGTCTACATCACAGAAGAAGATTGCATATCTAATTATTCCCAATCTCCTCTTATTTATGAAAATGGATAGATTTGCACCTTACTTTTAAGTAGTAAATCTAATTTCCAGATAACAAAGGTGATAATTAGTTCAGTAATTCATTTTCTCACTTTAGGCCTTTAAGTGTTTCATTTAACACATTCCCTCTAATTCAACCTTGTTATTTAATAAAGTTAAATATCAAACGGGTATTTCTGGGAGTAGTTTAATAGTCATAGTAATTGGTTAGAATTGTGTGACTTTTCTTGGTGGATAACGTTTTAAATGTCTGAAATATAACTTAAGGGGAAATCCTTATTTCAAGAGAGAAGCCTGATTTTATTGCTGGAAATCCTGCTTGCTTAAGTTTCCTTTCTGTATGTTTACAGCTGAACAATGCAAAAACCCTAATAGAACTGTCCACAGTATTTTAGGAAATGCTTCATGCTTTACTACTCTGTTATAGTGTTTATAAGTGTTTATGTATCTTTTATCCCTACAGAATATTCGATCATTAATGGGAGCAGAGAGGACCAAAGGATTTTGCCAGATTGTGGTATCATCCACTGTTAGAGATGGAATTTCCCATTTGATTCAATCTGCTGGCCTTGGAGGGATGAAGCATAACACTGTCTTGATGGCATGGCCTCAGTCCTGGAAACATACTGATAATCCTTTCTCTTGGAAAAACTTTGTTGGTATGTGTGGCTGTACAAGTTATACAAATCATATTCGCAACATGCAATATAGTAACACTTCATCTAAAAATTCATCTGATTGACCTCTGAATGTTCAAAATTTCCAGTATGAAACAGTGCCCTGAAATAGAGGTTTTGAAAAGAGCATTTCACAGATTGACCTTAGTGGCCTCCTGGAGTGGCGCTGTCACACTGTTTTATGGTGTTCCATTCCTAACTGTGGGGTCACTTCCAGAGAATAGCATTGGATGATTTCTGTTTGACTCCATGGCCATTGTGCTGTGGAGTCTTCTTGTGCCTCGTGCTATTTAATGCCTGTATGATCTTGTGCCTTGGGTGAAGGATGGGCCTCTGAAAATACAAAAGCCAGTCAACCCTGGCTCAAGTAATTATTTAAAAAATGTACTATGCCAGGGATGTCCAACAGGTCGATCACAATCTATTGGTAAATCCCTGGGAGGTTTTGGTAGATCGCAGTCGGTTGCTGGCTCTCTTTCCTTAGTGACGATGAAAGAGCATCCGCCCCCCGTCCTCCATTCTTGCATGATCTCTAGAACGGAAGATGGATTTTTTCACTGTGAGGCTGACTGTCTTCCTAGCGATCTTTTGGTTTCCCCTTTATACCCCCCCCCAAAAAAGCTCATAAACTTTGCCCTGAACCCCTAAAAAGGAGACTTTCCTCCCTTTCCTCCCTATTCTGTGAGTAGATCGCAGTCTCCTAGGAGTTGGACATCCCTGTGAAAGTGTGACATCCCAATGTGAAAGTGTACAGGTTATCTACATTTAATTATTTTGCGCATCACTGTGGCACAGATACAGCTCAAACTTTTATTAAACCTTTAATATGTCCAACACAACAAGAACCAAACTTCAGTGGTACAGATTCTGCTTTGCTTGCAGACTAATCCCAGATCAATCCCAGGTAGAGTTAGGAGATCTTCCTGCTTCGAATGCTGGAAAGCTACTTCCAGTCATTGTAGACAATACTTACTGAGCTAAATAGACCAGTGTTCAAACTTGGTATAAGGCAGCTTCTTAGGTTCCTAACTAGGATAAAAGTTTTTAGAAATACCAATAGTGGTTTTCAGCAGTCCTGTTTCTTTTTCCAGACACTGTTCGAGAAACAACGGCTGCACAGCAAGCCCTTCTAGTTGCCAAAAATATAGACTCGTTCCCTACGAATCAAGAGCGTTTTAGTGAGGGCAACATAGATGTTTGGTGGATTGTTCATGACGGAGGCATGTTGATGTTGCTTCCTTTCCTGCTGCGACAACACAAGGTACTAGCCTTTCTTTCCATTGGGAGACTTTGCTTTTAAATGAACAAGTGTTAATTGTAAGCTCTTTGAGGCTAGGAACTTTTGCATGTGAAATCCTATAAAGGATCCAGATAGTTCTGCATAAACAAAACGACTAGTAGCCCGGACATGAGATATAGTCAGTGCAGGATCTCTTTGTGCCATAAACCTTTGGAGTATAACAGAAGGCCTGATTTTCTCTTACTGAGAAGTGTTTCTGTAAGCCTAATGATGCAACATCTGAAGTCATCTGCATACAGAGAAGTTCTAAAGGCTGGATATTATGTGCATGAAGTCGTCTTCCTCACTTTCCTCTTGTCCAGCTACATTGGACTTCTTCTGGTAGGGGAAAGCTTATGAGAGATTGGGCATTAGGCAGGAATGCAGCACTACACTGTTAGCAGTGCTAACAGCAGAAAAACCACAGTAAAGAACCAGCAGCAGTACATTGCCAGCTATAAAGTTATGAGAAATCACTTCCACATTTGTAAAAAAAAAAATGTTCTCTCCTACTGACAGGTTTGGAGAAAATGTAAAATGCGCATCTTTACTGTAGCTCAAATGGATGACAATAGTATACAAATGAAAAAGGATCTCCAGATGTTTTTGTACCATCTTCGAATTAATGCTGAGGTCGAGGTTGTTGAAATGGTAAGGTTTTTGATGCACCCAGTTAAGCTTTCATTAAATGTTTGTGTTTATCCTTAGCTGAGGAACGTTATTTAAGAGGTCCATTGTGGGAAAAGATACCTACGTGTAATTTAAAAAACAACAAAAAAAACACCCTGCTTTTAGTGAGCCCCAAAGCAACTCACATAATTGTGTGTGTGTGTGTGTGTGTGTGTGTGTGCGCATGCCTTGGGCTTGTGGTTTGTTTCATGCAAACAAACCCTGAGCTATAACCAAGATTTGTTCTTCTCTCACCAGTCAAGCTTGTTTGTGGAGACAAATCTTGAGCCTGGGTTCAAACAGCACGAAAAGCCAAGCTCTGTTTTGTTTTGTCCATGACACATATTTCGTTTTAAATCAGTGTCTTTTTATAAAAAAAAAAGACACTTAATATGCTCCCAATCCAGATTAGGTTATGATCCAGTCATGGCTAAGCATATTCACATCCTAGTGATTTCAGTGGGAAAGTTAAAACAGGTGTCTCACTGCAGTTAAACTAACTTGATCGTGTCCATTTATTTTTTCATCCACCCTGGTAGAAATCTGAATGCTCCTTTAAGAGTTACATCTGGCTGCACAAATAGGCCGCCAACTTGTGGCTGAGTGGGCAGTCTTTTCAACCAGTGCAAGTTAGACTTGAGGGACCCTTTTTTCTCTAATACTTTCATCATTTGTGGCTGTAGTCCCAACAGAGAGGAAACTGGCCTCTATTTTAGCTCCCTCTACTGGAGGATTTAGTTGAATAAGGTTGGAGTATGTGTGTTTATATCCATCTGAAAAGGGGACAGAGGATGAGAGTATGACTACAGTAAGCCTGCAACTTACTTCGGAGTTATATTCCGGGGAACGCATGTGAAGCCACAATCATGTATAGACAAAACACAATGGGTTCAATGGCAGATGGGTTTGCCAAAGTCATTCCCCCAGAATTGCACCCCCTTTCTTCCCCTTCTTTTTTTAAAAAAATTGCAAGGTGCATAAAGCTGAATGTGTAAGTGTTAAATGCACGTAAATTGCGGGCTTAACTGCATATGTAAACCAATTAATATTTGTCCAAGAATCCATTATCTTCACAGTGTATATTAGCTCTATATTTTTAATGAGGAAATGTGCAACTTTATGTTTCAGCAACATAAGTTGCAGCAGAACAGTGGAAGAATGTGTTGCCTCCCCTTCCCCCATTTTGAGGGGCAGTTAAATCATCAGGGTCTACACAGACAGTTTGCATCTATTCTAAATAAAAAATTAGCACAATTTCTCATTGCAATTTTAACTTAATGCTTCCTTTTTCATTTTTTATATTATTTTTATCATCTTTCTTTCTTTGCTTTTGGGGTAGTCTCAGGGGATTGACCCAAACATCAGGGCTACTAGCATATGGTTTCTTTTTATTGCAAATAACATTTATTTATTTTTCCAGTTTGAAAATGATATTTCAGCATTTACGTATGAGAAGACCCTTGTGATGGAACAGAGATCTCAGATGCTGAAGCAAATGCAGCTTTCTAAAAATGAAAGGGAAAGAGAGGTAATCCATTTTATTTTCTTATTTTCAAAAACCATTAAAATAATGTATGAGCAAACCCAAACTCTGGTGCTAATTAATGAGGTCATCCAGATGGGTGGGGTATAAATCATAAAAATATTATTATTATTATTACCTACAAGAACAGTGCCATTTATATCAAAGAGGAATCAATCCTCAAGTACATGCTTACGAAGGTAAAGATCAGAAATGCTTATAAAATACAAAAAAATACAGTTTTTGTTCTAATAAAAGACTCCGCTTTAGAATATTTTTTTCACTGAAAACATTAAAGGACAGCACCGATTTGAAACAAGAATTACTCTATCTAGAGTGGAGGCCCAACCTATGACTTCCAAATCCCTTATATCAACATTTTAATTAGCGGGCTTCTTCAACTTTTTAACAATGGAGTAGCAGACAAATTTTCTTTTTAAAGAAATCCTTGGCTCTTTCACTGTGTCCGTAGGGTCTTCGGATTTTCAGATTTACTCTCATATTGGAAAACTAACTTAAGCACAGAAAGCATCATATGGTGGGGAGGAACACCACTGCACTCCTTGCCTCAGGTCAGCATCCTTGCTGTCCCTTAACGGGAGGTGGAGGCAGTAAGGAACCTGCCACTGCAATCCATGATAAGTTACCTACTGCAGTACCCATTGTTTAGATGTACTATGCTTCCTTCTGTTGTTTAACTAGTGCCATTGTATTTTATGAGCTAATGCTATGCTTTTTCCGGTTGTGCCTGGTGACCTTCCTGTCCCAGATTCAGAGCATCACTGACGAGTCTCGTGGCTCAATCAGAAAGAAGAGCCGCTCTAGCCCACAATGTATTGGTCAAGATGTAGACAATCTGCTACCTAATGACATTCAGGAGGAAGAGGTAGAAATTGTACCCACCTGACTGTTCCCTTCCCATGACAACACTTACAGTGCCATTGTAAACCATAGCTGTACTAATTACTACCACTAACCTGTTCTAATTCTTACTAATTACACTATTATATGTAGGGAGTACCATTCCTACGGTATAAAAGCAGATGAGTTTTTTAAAATAGAAATTTCAGTGTTCAGCTTTTCAGAATAGACCATTCTGAATATTGCCCCCCCCCCTTTCTTTAGTTGAATCACTTGGTTGAACAACATGGTATTCAAGTCTTATGTTCATAGGGGAAGCCCCTGAATCTGGTATCAATGCTATGTACATTAAAGAAAGACTTGTGGTACTGCTCTCCACACAAGAACACACATGTTCAAAATTTTGAGTTTCCAGGAAAGACAGAAATTTGGAAAGTTGTTTTCAGAACTTTCCTGGAATGAATCCATTCATAAGCATTCTGCAGTTATATTTATTGCAGTGATTTCTTCCATGAAGAAATCATAGGACCACCAGAATTGTCACTCTGAACCAATCAAAAAAGTCTAGGCAATATTTAACAGAAATATTTAAAGGCTATGCAGGTTAGCACTCAAGACACTCCCTTCAGGAAACATACAACAATAAGGTTCTTTATTTTTTTAAAAAACATGATCTTTGAAATTAGAAGCCAAATCATTAATCACAATCTACCACAATTCCAGTATTTATGAGAAATCTCAAGCTTTATCACACTCAGCTGTGTGCAAAATTGTAGCCCTTCTCTCATTTTGTTAAATTGCTTAGATTTAATAACAGACTTCAGCAATAATTTTGTGTTTCTGAATCTTGATTGTTCATATAGAAATAATGATTGCCTTTAATGTTCTACAGAATGCCATGATACATGTAATACATTTTAAGCCCGGTTATAATTTTAAAAATGGCACTTCAAGTGTGGCTCCTTGTGTTCAAACCCGGATGTCCTAATTTTAGTTCTTAGCAATGTGGAATGTCCTTTTGTAGATCACCTTTAGTAAGTTCAGTGTAGTTGTGTGTTTGAAGTGATAACAAAATAATCCATAATTAGAATTTAGTAAATGTCACCCCTTTCTGTTCTTTTAAAATGTTGTATTTAAATCCCATGGTTTATCAGATCTTAAATGTTTTCAATCCAGCAGTAACTGATGTTAGTAATTATCATTTGTGTCCTAAAGCCTGAGGTATTTTTTTAAAAAAATAAAAACATTAACCTAAATGTTAATACCTTCATTGGATATTGTTTGGCTTTATCCCTCTGATAGTATCTCCTCTTTGGAACAAGTCTGAATTGTTTGTTGTTAACACTAGTGTGGTAGATTGTTATGTTTATTACTTCGTTATTCACTGCACTGTTCTGCATTCTTTGACGAACAGTTTGTCAATATAAAAGTAGAATGTTTCTCGGTTATTGAAATTAAGGAATATAATAAGCAGTACTGTATAAGCAAAAATGCATACATGTTAACTCAAACTAGTTTTAGGATAATTCAGTAATGTAATTAAGACTTTGTGACAGAATTATAGCATTTCAGCATTTTGTGCATTGATGCAAACATTAATGAAAAAGCTCTCTGGCTGAACTGGTTACGTATGATATATAGGATGTTACAGACTTGTATTCACAGGTACTGTGATACTAAGGTGACATACAGAGCCTTTCGAGAGAATAATTCTATTGCGCAGTGTTTCCTGCTATGCTGCTACATTTCATAGTACTCAAATATCAATATTTTGATGCTGTTAAAATGTCTTCCCACCCCATCTATTGTGATAGCGGGTAATAAGATGAATATGGAGGTGAGATATTAATGAACAATTTGGATGGTGGCTGTGACTTCTGGTGACAAGTGATGCAGTTCCTACAACCAGTGAGCTTGCTATTTTATGACAGTTTTTAATTTTAAAGTTTATACCACTTAAGCTTAGAAAGGTATAGATTTTACACCAGAGCTGTAACTCTCAGCAATCAAAAGCACTGGCTTTGTAGTATCCTAAATGCCAGATTTTGTTTCAGAAGTTCCTTGAGCCAAAACTCTTTCACACTTTACTGTCATGTTGCTCTGTCTAAAGAACAGTAGCGCCATCTATGGAAATAGGATTGAATGGCAAGTGGCTTGCTATATTATCATGTAATCTCCCAACAAAAATATGTAATTTGTCCCTCGGGTCAGCCCCCATACCCAGGGACTGTAAAATGGCCAATGTAACACCAGTTTTTGAAAAGGGATCCTGGGAGGATCTTAGAGATTATATGATGGTTAGCTTGCCTGTCCCAGCAAAACTGGTGGAAAGCATTGTTAAAGATAAAATAACCAAGCATGTGGAAGAACAAGACTTGCTGAAGCAGAACTAGCATGGCTTCTGTAAGGTTGAGTCCTGTCTTACTAATGTGTTAGAGTTCTTTGAGAGCGTCAACAAGCAAATAGAGACGATCTGGTTGACATAGTTTTTAACAAGGGACTTCACCAACCTGAGTAAACTCCGCAGTCGTGCAATAAGAAGAGAGGTCCTCTTCTGGAACAGGAGCTGGTTATGCCAGAGGTAGCAAAGAATGGGAATAAAAGGCAAATTCTATCCTACAAATCATTAGGAAAGAAATTGAAAACATGGTTGTTGGCATACGTTTGGCTCAAGAGACATTGGAATGTGCCTCCACGGGGGTTCACTTTTGCCACAGAATCAATCTGTGAAGTGCAACTCTCAGGAAAATGTGTGTTCTGTACCATATGTGTGTATAAATATATTTTTATTCTTCAAAATGAGCAGCTGCCTTCATGTAAGTCATCCTGTCACAGACAAATGTATCTGCAGGGTCAAATACATTATTTCTACTCCTATATGGGTCATGGAATGATTCCCCCATCCCCATTTAGAACTAATAATGTCAACCATTATTGTCATTAAACTGGTGAATAAACATCTTGAATACATTGCATCTCTCATAAGCTGAACATGAACTGCTTTTATGTACAAGCAAGCAAAGTATTTACATGGTATTTACAGGCCTCTGCCAGCCTTGAGTTCCCTGACTTGCCAAAATGCTGATCTTTACATTGCTTGTTTGTGTTTGGTCAGGCTCAATTAATCCATGATAGGAACACGGCATCCCGCTCAACAGGAATGGTCAAATCTCACACTGCTGTTGCTACACCAGACAAAATACAAATGACCTGGACAAAAGAAAAGCTTATATCCGAGAAGCATAAAAATAAAGAAGCTTGCCTGTCAAGCTACAAGGATATCTTCAGTATGAAACCGTAAGTAGATACTTAAGGCATTAAATACTGATAACATTGATCAAACCCACACTAACATTTAATGGTATTGAATAGAATGGGTTTATACTATTCTATAAATGGTAGCTCATAGAAGAAAGCAGTAAGAATACATTGGCCAGTTAGATTCTGGAGGTGTAAATGCCTTAAAATCATAAAATCCCATGCTGAAGATATAAGTAATTCTATTTTTCTTTATACACACACTACTAGCCGTCTTCCCAGTACTACTTTTGCTCTTACAAGAACAGAATTGTCTTCTAATTATTCTCTGGGTCGCGGGTGGCGCTGTGGGTTAAACCACAGAGCCTAGGGCTTGCCGATCAGAAGGTCAGCAGTTCGAATCCCCGTGACAGGGTGAGCACCCGTTGGTCGGTCCCAGCTCCTGCCAACCTAGCAGTTCGAAAGCACGTCAAAGTGCAAGTAGATAAATAGGTACCACTCCGGTGGGAAGGTAAACGGCGTTTCCGTGCGCTGCTCTGGTTCCCCAGAAGTGGCTTAGTCATGCTGGCCACATGACCTGGAAGCTGTACGCCGGCTCCCTCGGGTAATAAAGTGGGATGAGCACCGCAATCCCAGAGTTGGTCACGACTGGACCTAATGGTCAGGGGTCCCTTTACCTTTACCTATCTTATATTCAGTTCTGCTCTCTTGAGTGCAGCAGGAGCTGAGTTTTAGTTTGAAGGCTTATGAGTAAGCAGGAGCCATAACTGTAGAAAACTTTGTGAAATGTAAAAGAAGACAGAATATCTTTAGAAACAGGGGTGTTTCCTTCTATAAAACCTTTATGCTTTGCGTGGCCTGGTATCATAGCAACATCATTATTTCAGTGGTACTATAAGGAAGGGAACCACTTTGTTTCAGCAACCACTAGATGGCGATGTAATCCTAGTAATCATTGCCAGGACTTGGCAGCACCTACAGATTGAAGGAACAACAACAATGTTGTGTTTTATTTTTATGGAAATAAAAGACATGGTTATGTGTCACAACATGGCTTATTATGTTTATCATCTATTGTACATGGGTTGCTTTGAAGTACTACCCATTACATTTTTTAGAAATTTGCTATCCAAACCCTCATTTATACATTAATTTCAGAACATAAAAATTAGTAATAGTTTAATATGTAAAGCATTACAAAGTTAGCACTAAATCTGAAAAAAAATGTGATATATGTTTTTTGTACAATTTAGATATCCTTTAAAATAAAGCAGAATTGATATAGCCTCTTCTTGTAATTTGAAGAAATAATTTTAGGTCCATCCTTATTTACACTACAATAAATATTATTTCTGTCATAAACTAGGACAGGGGAGCATTTGCTAGATTTCTGTAGCAAGAAATGTGAAAATGGGTTGAGCTTTTTAATAAAAGTAACTGTCTTCAGATCTGTAATTGCCATACACGGTAGCGGAACAGGTGATTTGTTAGGAAGATTAATAATAGTGTGATAGAAATCTGTTCCCCAAAAGACATAAATGTCTTACCGCATTGCAACCTATGTTTGTGTACTTGCAATATGTTCTCCATGCTAACCTTCCCTGCTGACCTATCTGCTTCAGAAGTTATTGTTTTGGCCTTTTGTAAGGTTACTGCTGTGGTTGCTTATCTCTCAGAAAGAAAATTTACACCACTTTAATTTATGTTTGATTGTCCAATTTAAGAACACCGTGGCAATGGCAAAAACCGAATAGGTTCATTTCAATCTGGCCAAGAATTATTGTATACCTGAATGCTCAGTTACGACCATACAGCTTTGTCTTTTACTGCTTGCTGCCTTCTGAAGACAGCTGATGTGGTCAGATACTGTTTCTCCCAGAGGTGGGAAGCTGCTAGCCCACACTACAGTCTCCCTGCTTCTCCTCTCTCTAGCTGAAAAATATCCAATCCCTTCCAAATATGATGTCCACTGCCATCAAGGAGTTGTGGGGAGGAAAAATACATTAACACAAAAGCCAACTGCAAAAAAAATTGCAGACCACATTAAACGATTACAAAAAGAGGGTTGAAAACCATAACTAACATGAAAAAAACAGCCAAAAAGTAAAAGCTAAAAACTAAAGCACCATAATAAAAAGCTTTGAAAATAAAAAATAAAGAAACAGAAAATTTAAAAGTAGGCATTTTAAATGCTGCAAGTATAGATGAATACAATATTATGTTGAGTCAGAATTTATTCCTTTTTCAGATGAAGGAAGATTTTGGAAAGGGAGCGTGCAAACTCAGGAGTTGCTTGTTTGCATAGTTTCATCTCTGTGTCTGCCCCTGAGCTATTAACACTGCAGGAAATTAGAGGGGCCACTTTAAGAGCAGTGCAGAACTGTTGTACAATATGAACAGGGGACAATTTAAACGTTTCCATACTTTTAGGAATGTGTGCTATGGTTTGTTTTTAAAAATCACACGAGATATACTAATTTTTAGTGATTAAAATATTTAGGAAATGAATAAAGTTATATTGTGTTTTAAGGTGCTATATTAGAAAAATATGCCATATAGCTATGTAATATTTTTGCACATTTGTTTCTTTTCCATGTAGAGAATGGGGAAATCTGTAAGTCGAATTTGATTTAATTTAGGTTGTTATTCCTGCTTTCTGTGCTTTATTGTTTAAGTGTTGTTGCATGTCTCTTCCAAATTAGCTGTTTTTGAATCTTCACTGGGTCTGTGCATTATGTTTTAGCATGTGAATGTGATGGCTTAGCCTTCCTGTCATATTTTCCTTTTACGCTTTTCTCCTTTTTCTAAGCTAGGTGCCTCTTTTTTATTACTACTTTTCTTCAGAGTAAATCACATTATGTGTTTCATAAAATGAAGGTCACCATTTGCCTGTATAAAACATTTGACATTTCCTTCATCGAAATCCCATGGGTGCAACTTTTCCCCTTAATTATCTCAATAACCAGATGCATAGTAGTTTCTGGATAAGCTAACATTGACATAATTGCAAAGATTATAACAATGACAATAAAGGTGATTTAAAAAAATAATAATAATTAGGAAGTGGGAAAGATAGATGCAGATATTAATCTCATGAGTTTGTTAAGCTATATTGTGTTCAGTTGCTTAATTTGTAATAATAGTGTGCAATATTGCATACCTTCAAACTCCCCACCCACCGGGGGGGGGGGGGGACATAGCAGCAGATAAGATTATAAAAAGAAACTAATGTGGATAAATGAGTCATTTTTGAGGCAGATCATTCAACCTCATGAAAGTGATTGCGATGCAAGTTTTTGTTCTCCTGTGACTCCTTCCATCCCCCTGCTTTGAAGCATTACTAAGGGCTCTCTCCTGCCCTTTTTTCTTTTTTGTTGAATATCCCTGTCATTTTGTTCTTTGATTTTCCCTCTGTGTGAATCATCAGTTCTTTATACCAAAAATCTTCACACATAGCACTGATGTTTCTCTCACATTTTTTTTTAAAAAATGTCTTTTTACATATCCACCCTCCATAATCATTGTATGGCACCTAAGCGTCTTGATTCAGCAGATGTGATCAGCCTGCAGAAAGCTTTCTGCCCGTGGATCTGGTTTCTTGAATGCACAAAATCCAGCCGTGTGCCAGACCACAGACTGTCACCAGTCATGCACACAGAAACCCATGACCCGCTTCATATACAGTGGACGCTCGGGTTGCGAACGTGATCTGTGCAGGATGCACGTTTGCAACCCACAGCGTCGCGTCCGCGCATGCACGGGTTGCAATTCGGCGCTTCTGCGGATGCGCAAAGTGCGATTTAGTGCTTCTGCGCATGCGCAACCACCAAAACCCGGTTATTTCTGGGTTTCAGCAGTCCGTAAACTGAAAAAACCCAACCTGAAGCGTCTGTAACCCTAGGTATGACTGTAGACCCATGATTAGGCTTATGCAGTTGACTCCTTACGTATGTATGTAGCAGGGCTCTTGTGCTCCCACAATTCTCTAGGTCAGGAGCAAGTGCTGCAATTAGATGATCATATCTTGGGTTAATAAGGCAAGGTATGAATGTGCCTTGCAGCTGTCCGTGAGACCTCTTTGTCCCTCCTTTGACATGAAGGAGCAAACAAACGAGGAAGACTCCAGATAACGGTTGTTTTCTGGTCTGAACCAGGAAACTCTGGCTAACAGCTTCAGAACAAGCAAAGGTGGCTTGAAATTGGCTTTGTATCCTAGCTTGTTCCAAAGCATGTTATATTTAAAGAATAAGAAACAAAAAATAAAGGGTAAAAGGACCCTAACAGTTAACTTTTGTATCCTCGCCACCCTTGAAAAATGTGGAACTCCTCAGTTGGAGAATCTTCCAGGGCATTTATTGCCCATTACTGCATTCATAAGAAGAATGGCATCTGCCTTTTGAGTTTTTCGAAGGTAACATAGCAGCTGTTATTGTTCTATAAAGTTGTGTCCTTTAATTTTCACAATCAATGTACTTTAAAACTTTAGTGTTACGTTAACGGGTGCAGCTGAGCATATAATTTGTCTAAAACTAGGCACATACTGTACAGAAATCTAAGCCTAATTTATTGGTTCTCTTTCTCCAGTGACATTCATGTCCCCTGAGAATTAATATTAAAATGTCAAATACAGTTCAGTTTAAGTGTTGCACATTGGGGCAAGAAAATGTTGTTAATGCCCAACACATTTTGGGAAAAGTTTCCCACCTTCAGAGGCAATTCTCTTTGTTGGAGCACTGCAGAAAAATATTACGGAGGCTTCTTCCTTGGCCAGATGCAGCCCACAGCCTTCCTTTCCTTGTTTTGGTTTTTGCACATCAGGGCAAAAAACTTAATTCCACACACACATTAAAGGGGTCTGAGCTGACAGTGCCTGGGGCAGTATAGGGATGTTGGAGTCTGCTGTGGAATAGCTAAATTAAAATTTTGACCCAGTATGCATCAGCTGTAGAAAAATGTAAAATTCAGTTTTGAGGGTTAAACGGAAAGGAATCAGAAATAAAACTACCAATACTGAAATGTGAATTTATGTTGTGACCATACCTGGAATGCTGTGTACGGTTTTGGTCACCACACCTTAGAAAGGATGTTGCAGAATTAGAACAAATACGGAGAAGGGCAACCAAAATAATCAGGCTGGAGCAAGTCTCCTATGCCACCAGGCAGTTCTCAGCAGATTATTCCTGGTGGGAAATGTGATTCCCTGAGAAAAAATGGGTTTCTTGCCCTTGCTCTGTGTCAATGTAAGAATGAAGAAGTCATTGATGAAAGAACCCTTAAAGGAGTAAATTAACTTTGGTAGCCTTTTGACTTAGAAAAAGTGCAAGAACAATAGTATTTCTATGCTACTTGGAACAAAATGTTTTATCACTCCTTGATTTAAATTTTGCAGGTCTACAGAAGGGCCAGATATATTTGTTTCCAAAGCTAGATCCAGTCCACAAGCCCAACAGTTGACTAGACTTCATAGACACTCTGCTCAAGTATTTTATTTTATTTTTAGGAAATGTCTTGGCATTACCTGCTGATTACTAAGCATTTGCTATGTTGTATGGCTTAAGATTTTTTTGGCTGCAACAGTAACCTTTTCCTTGCACTTACCAGTAAGATTGTGCTGGCTGATCCATCTCTAATTGTTGCTATGTTGTAGGAACCAGTCGAATGTGCGAAGGATGCACACTGCCGTCAAGCTCAATGGAGTTGTGCTAAACAAGTCACAACATGCCCAACTGGTGTTACTGAACATGCCTGGTCCTCCAAAAAACAGGCATGGGGACGAAAATTGTATCCTTTTTTGGTGCACTTTAGGCATCAAAGCAGCCATCCAGCAACACCCAAAATCTGTTAGCCATATTAGAATCAGATGAGGGAAATACTGAATAGAACTGTATGAAATAAAGACAGTTGACCTATTAGGCAGGGGAGATAAGTGATTTACCGTATTTTTCGCTCTATAGGACGCACCTTTCCCCCTCCAAAAATTAAGGGGAAATGTGTGTGCGTCTTATGGAGCGAATGCAGGCTCCATGGTTTCAGCGAAAGCAACGCAAAGCCTCCGAAGCGCAGCAGGAGCGCTCCCACTGCGCTCCGGAGGCTTAATGACGGCTATCCCTGAAGCCAGGAGAGCAAGAGGAATCGGTGTGCACCGACCCCTCTTGCTCTCCTGGCTTCGCTTCGCTGGAGAGGCGCTGCGCACCTTTCCCTCTCCCCAGCGCCCCTTCAGCGAAGCGGGAGGAGAAATGGAAGGGGCTCCATTTCTCCTGCCGCTTTGCTGAAGGGGCGCTGCGCAGAGAGGGAGAGAATATTTTTTTTCTTGTTCTCCCCCTCTAAAACTAGGTGCGTCTTATGGTCGGGTGCGTCCTATAGAGCGAAATATACGGTAATAACAATGTGGGAAGTCAGTTACATAATGATAGAATCTCACACTTCCTGCTTCCGGATAAATCTACAATTTACATTTGATAACAGGTAACAGAAATTCCCATTTTACTTTCCCATGCGGAACTGAAGTTGAATTTGGGAATGAGAGTGATTTGCCCAGTGAGATCATCGCTGATCAGAGGTATGAAGTCAGGCAAAGCAAGCTGAGTATGTTTTGCTAACACATACCTTGAGAGGGATGCAGTTTGCACCTTTGGGTGTGAGAAGGGGAAGTATATAATCACCATAAGGTTTTGGTACAATTTTATTCCAGGTCTTAAAACCTTGACTACTTTGACATCCAGATATGGAGTTCTTGGAAGTTTTGACAGAAGGCTTGAACAGAGTGCTCTTGGTACGAGGAGGAGGTCGTGAAGTTATCACCATTTACTCCTAATAATTTTACTGAACACACCGATATTACTTCATATAACATCTGTTTCTGGAATTAAATGTGGGACTTTGGCAAATCTTGTTGGGACTAATGACTTTTGCCCAGCCCTATTTATTGCATACGAAATAGAATCAAACAGTTGAATCCTCTCTTTTTTCTTTTATAAAATTATGTAAGCAAAATTATTTCCTACATAGATCTCTAAAATGTGTCTTTATTGAATAAATGTATTATATGCTTGTATATTTTTTTAATGTAGAAAACTGGGAGACGATATTTTTTTGTTGTTCTGGGGATTAGGGTGGGACACAGAGGGGCATACTTTTTGCACATAGCTCCTAGTAAATACAATAGCTGCTTCTTGGACATAGGAACAGACTCCTAAGTTTGTACTACTTTTTATAATGATGGTTTTTAAAAAAGAAAACGAGGAAATGGGGCTTCCAGGAACCATTTTATAAGAGTCTGGCCTACATATTTTGTACCATTGACCCTTCTAACTGGAAGCAGGTTCTGTCTCCTTACCAAGTCTCTGTGGTTCTGTATTCATTTTAATCCACAACTCTGTGAATTGTTTAGCATTGTATTTTAATTAAAGATCACTGGTTGAATAAAAGTCCTTTGATTTAGGAACCACAATTTTGACTACTTGAAAGTGGCTGGCCCTTATGAGTCCAGGCTTAAATTGTTGCTGAAAGCTGAGTCTACCTTAAAAAGATAATACTTCACTTACAAATACAGCAAGATCTCATCTTATTTTTAGAGTGTTGTTTTGGAGTGTCTTGTTTTTAAGGTTTTGAACCCCAGCTCTTAGTTTCTAGGAAAGAAGAAATCCACTAGAATAAATCATTTAAGCCTTTGAAGTTACACGTGTCCAGCTGCTGTAGGGAAATGGAAGACATCAGAATGCAAAAACTTGACAACTAAGAATACTCTGCTCTTAAGCAATGTTGACTGGACCCTATAAATTGCAAAATAAAAGTCTAAAATTCGTTCTCTAATACACTTGCCGACCTATAAGCTGCATAGTACCCATTTCATTTAGTAGGCAGGGAGTGGCTGGAGTTTTGCTTCTTCCTCAAATTTCTGGTAAACTCCTGACTTCACCAGATCAACACATGCCCATTATCAGTCCTCCATCCTCTTGGGCAGTAGCATGACTGTTCCACTTCCCTGACTTCCTGTACCAAAAGCATAACTATATATTACCACTCAATATTGGAAGGGGGCTCTTTTGAAGACCCAAATGCGAAACTGAAATATTGTAAATAAGATATTTTGTACAGATGCAGGTAGAATCAAGCAACTGAGAGTTAAATACAGCAGCTGTTGAGTGCAAAATAAGTGCACTTGGTAACAGCACCAGCAGTGTTGTTAATATTACTTAGTTAAAGTGAAAATACTGGAAATTTCACCATGAGAAAAACCGTGTTTTTTAATGACTTTGGGGGTTTGTTAGAGGGGGTGGAAATGCAAATAAATAGAATATTGAATTACTTATTAGATCAAACCTTTATCACATTTAAAAATGTATTGTGCATAAGTTAGGTTGGCATCCGTCTTGGGAGACTGGAAGAGTGTGCCTTCAAGGGTTATGTCAAACAATTGGAGAGTTACAGTGCCTGCTGTGTCTGTAGAGATGAATACAGGAGAGACATGTTTTGTTGCAGCTGGGGCAGATGAAGGCATCCAGTTGAGATGCGCCACAGAATCTCTTCTTTCTGGGTTCCTCCCAGTGGTCATTCCTCCTCTTGTCACTGCTGTGGATTGTTTAAGAAATGTATTGTATGTAAGTTACCCTTGCATGAAATTAGAACTGTTTGATATATTGGTGAGATTTTTCAAACAATAACTGCAAATATAACCATTGTTGGAGATGGGATTGCAAGCTTCTACTCTCAGCGAGGTACCTGTAACGCAGAAAGAGAAGAAACTAATTTTTCTGAAGAGAGCTTAGAAATGAACATCTGAATCACAACATGATTTCACAGATCGTGTGCGTGGTAGCAGACAGGATAGTTCAGTGCCCGCACACTGGAGATTCAAGACACATCTGATGTTTTACCAGGTATGTAATGTACATAAGACCAATTAGCACAATCCTTAACTCTCAGAATTGGTTTGTATGGGATGAAGAGCATGGATAGGTTCCATGTGCATTGGGCATATCTTTGAACACATAACCAACTGGGTTCAGGAACAATGCTGTAACCCTGGGTGTGCATGTGCATTTGTGGGGCTGGCTGGCTGGTGCAATGTTGATTTTCCACCATGCGTAGATGCATCATTTTTAGAGCCATCTTTGTAGCTCTAGAATAAAAAAATCCTCAGAGGTTTTCCATCCTGTTATCAAATTATTGCATATTGGGCCTCAGTGGGTAAAATCTTGATCTTGAATGTATGTTAACGTATTCCTGGGGTTAGTGAGCATTTTTGTACTGAGGCTATATTGACGTCAGCACGACCATTGTTAGAGAGTAAGGTTATTGGCTGTTGATCTTTGAAATCTGGATAGATGAATAGTACCCATTTACTGTACTGCATATTAGTTAACAGGTGGGGTGGGGATATGTGAAAGCTAATTACTTTTAGCATTTCACATAAATATTACGGCTCACAAGTTTTTATTATGCAATGAATGCTATTATGCTAGCAGTTGCTTCATCCCCTATCATTAGTTTGTTGTTTCTGTAGTTTATTTTTGTAACTTGGTTGTGATTGTTGTGATCATTAGGGATGTTCTAATTACTTATTGATTGTCCATAACGTATTTCACAGTTGAAGTCATACAGTGCTCCAGATAACTCCATGAACAGTTTGAAATTTGTCCTCTCAAGTGACCTTAATAGGGTGCTTTGAAACACATCACTTCACTGTCGTCATAGGCTTAGCAAGTGTCTATTGCTTTTGAAAAGTAGAAGAATTTCAGAGGTACTGTAGTTGGTCAATTTCTTAGAAGGGAATGGCTATTTTAAGAAGAATTGCTTATGTATCTTTTAACATGTAAAATGTTTTCCTGTGTTTTCTCTTCTCAACCCTGTGAATTTATGGCTAAAACCCTTATCTCACAGGAAAAGGGTTGGCATACTAACCAGTGAACTTCTTGTGCCTAAAGGAGGATGGCTCATTTAGTTGAGTTGGCCAACCTGAGTGAAGAGTGGATGCATGTGTTCCTTTTCTTTGCCTCCAAGGAATTTTTGGCATTTGTTGTTGTTTAGTTGTTCAGTCGTGTCCGACTCTTTGTGACCCCATGGACCAGAGCATGCCAGGCACTCCTGTCTTCCACTGCCTCCCGCAGTTTGGTCAAACTCATGCTGGTAGCTTCGAGAACACTGTCCAACCATCTCGTCCTCTGTTGTCCCCTTCTCCTTGTGCCCTCCCATCTTTCCCAACACCAGGGTCTTTTCCAGGGAGTCTTCTCTTCTCATGGAGGGCACAAGGAGAAGGGGACGACAGAGGACGAGATGGTTGGACAGTGTTCTCGAAGCTACCAGCGTGAGTTTGACCAAACTGCAGGAGGCAGTGGAAGACAGGCGTGCCTAGCATGCTCTGGTCCATGGGGTCACGAAGAGTCGGACACGACTAAACAACAACAATAGTGATTGTCTCCTTGGCCACAGTGATTTTTGGTTATGATGGATGGACTAAAGGGAACCTTCTTGAGGGGCAATGTGCCCTCAGATGTGTGACAATCCTGTCAACAATCTGGCATCTTTAATGGGATTATGCCCACCGCAGAATCGAGCTGGTCTGCACTCCTGTTTATCAAATGTTCAATGAGTAATCTTCAATGATATTGCAGCTGACAAGCAGTGCAGTGGAACAGAGTGGCAAAGATACTGCTGTAGTTATGTGCTGTGTATTCTCTTTGGGGAAAGAATTTATTTAAAAAGCCTCAAAAATCCAGAGATAAAGCTTAGTATGAATTAAAAACGAAGATTCAGATTCTCACCTCGTCCATTCTTTTGCTTATTTACCAATTGCAGACCACTTGCTACCAGACATTTATTCCAACAAACAGGAGGGATTCCAAGACAGATCATGGCAATTGCCAAGCTGACTGTAGCTTTGTAATAATAATTAATTAATTAAAATAATAATTTTATTTATATGCCACCCATCTGACTGGGTTGCCCAAGCCACTTTGCAGTGTGCTTCTGCGAAGGGCAGGAGTAGAGATTGATGGATCAGTCTGTTTTCAGTCCATGTCAGCTTTGCATCTGTTCAGTCTGCTCCATCTTGTTTCCATGTTACAGTAATTTGTATTTTTAAAGAAATAATCTGCACAAAAAATCCATATTTAAATTAGCACGTTAAAACATTTTCTCACAAAATGCACAGTCCTAAACATATTTTCTATGAAAATGTGCATTTTATCTAAAAAAGATGTATTCTAAAATGCATTTTTTATATTTTTGGAGCAAGGATTGCATGACGGAGAGGCACAGATAGCTGAAGGATAACTGAAGTTCCAATCCATACGTTAGTCCTGGAGAGACAGGTCAGGTCAATTCACATACGAATTCACAAAGAATTCAGCATCTCTGGGCAAAAGTGAAAGCCGGTTGGAGTAATTCTCCAAATGCACAATCAGCAAGCAGCTTGGCCCCCCAGCTGCCTACCCAAGTTGTGCAGTCAAGACAGTATCCTTGCTCCCATTAGTGCTGGGTTGCTGCTGCTAGAACAGAATGCTGCTGCATGCAAGCAGTATTTTCTGTATAATTTCCCTGACATTACTTTGGTGGTTCTAGACCCCATTCCAGCTTCAAAAGCTGCATAAACAGAAGTGTAATGGAGGGTTTGACCCTCGTTTCATTTGATCTAATTGTGACAGAGAAGTCATAAGAGCCTGGGGGTGGGTGGGAGAGAAGGGGGGTATTTCTGTTCCATTTGGGGGGGACATTAAAACACCATGTGTTTCTTCTGCAGCTGAATAAGGGAATAAGGGAAATGGAGGAGACCTATAGGCTTGGGCTGAAGAGGAACATGACCAAGAGAGCCAAAGTTGGTCAGGTGAAACATAATTCCATTTGTCTCTGCTGTGTCCTTGCAATAGGACTAGACAACATTAGGGGAAAAACGACACCTTGCTTTTGTGGAGAGGGGCTGGTGGGTGGAATTGTGGTGGTTTTTTTAATGTTACATATTTGGAGAACAATACACATGTTCCAGGATCTATTTTGCTATTAAGGACATTTCTGTAGATCTGTTCTAATGGGATAATTTAAAAATCTGCCACAGAATTCAGATGAAATGTTTCCAAGACAAATTCAAGCACAGTGCTGAGATTTTTATTTAAAATAAGAAACTTATCCATCTTTGTGTTCCAGTTAATGCTCTGCAAATTGATCATTGGACGATTTGCCACAGAGGAGTAGGAATGTTGTCTTCTTCTGTAGGTCTGAATATGTACGTAAGAAGCAGGTTTTAATTCAGTCCTCTTTTTTATTTTAGAGCTAATCCCTGTGTTCCAAGTTGGGGATAAACAGTAAATCGTGCAAAGTACAGGTTAAATAAGATCATGAACTAAGATCATATTGGTTCTTTAATGAAATTTAAGCTGGCAACAAAACCTGCATGTCAGCATAGCTTGTAAAGAAAGATCAACAAGTTCCATCTAAAACAGTAATAAATTATTTCCATTTGGTACCACTTATGTCTTTTACAATGTGTGGAAATATAGTTACAGTACGTCTGAAGCAGGCTTTCTCCCTTATACAGCCTTCTCTTGTGTGTTCCATTGCAATGAAGTCACACATCTCAATCTGGAAACATTAATCCACTTTGAAATTGTTGCACCACCAAAATACATAGTGTAGCATTACAGTGATACCTCTGGTTAAGAACGTAATTTGTTCTGGAGGTCCGTTCTTAACCTGAAACTGTTCTTAACCTGAGGTACCACTTTAGCTAATGGGGCCTCCCGCTGCCGCCGCCGTGCGATTTCTGTTCTCATCCTGAAGTAAAGTTCGTAACCCGAGGTACTACTTCCAGGTTAGCAGAGTCTGTAACCTGAAGCATTTGTAACCCGAGGTACCACTGTACTCTCTCATAACCACTGTTCCTTGGGTCCTATAGCTAACACAGTACAGAATATTCTAGATGTGATGTTCAAGACTATATGTCCCTTGCAAGCACAGAAAAATCCTTTGCATATTGGCCATTGGCTCCTGCGTCCTGAGAATCCCAGATTTTGTTTTTAAAGGGCAGGTTTCTAGCCCATATTAGACAAGCTATAGTACAGAGGATGTGGAAAATGAATCATGTGGAAACTCCCATAGCTAGGGGAAGAGGGAGAGAGAGAAGGGTGCTCAGTAGCACTGCTGATAGTAAGAGGCAAAGCATCAGTAGTTTAAATAGCTCACTGCCCCCTCCTCCTAAAAACTAGCAGCAATCATGGCAACAACAAAAGCTGCCAACCACAGGTCACACAATACATTGTTGCTCGATTTAGATTTGGTGTCGTCTTTTTTAAGGCTTGGCGTGTAGTCAATGTTGGAACCACAAAACTGGGCAAAATCAAGGAACTCTTATTTCCAAAGGGTGATCTTTTGCAGGTAGGCAAAGTCTTTAGGGATACATGCTTTGACGCGAAAATAATCAGTCCCTTTTGTAAATATATTTATTTAGAAGTACGGAATCCAGCAACCACAAATGTTTAAGGAGCCATGCTGCTTCAGTGCCCACTGGATAGACGGATTCAAATTTGAATGGAAAATAAGAACCATGACAAGGTGTTTCATACATGTTTAGGGGGCAGCGGCAGGGGATATTACAATAAATGACAGCCATGGGTAGGTTTGGCATATTCACACTTCTAAATTTAAGTCCAATATTCTTTTTCGGAATCTTCACCTCACTATTATTTC